CAGTCCGTCCCCTCTCCTCAGCACCTGTGCGGTTCTCACCTGGTCGACGCCCTTTACCTGGTCTGCGGGGAGCGAGGCTTCTTCTACAACCCCAAGAGATCCGCCGACACTCTGATGGGTGAGATGCTGGGCTTAAAGAGACTACAAGATGCACTAAACCTAAACTATGTGTTTATTTTCATATCTGATTTTTAAATTGTTTTAGTCTTCTTATAGATAGATTCATAACATTACATGAAACGACATCTAACATTCACCAACACTCTGCCTCATCTGTTTATGTGGAACCCTTAACAAAAGTTTAAATAAAACCTGTGCACATTTTTAAATCAATTTTATACTTTTTAAACTAATTTAAAAATCAGACCTGTACAACAAGTTGAAAGAGACACGTATTGTGCAGCTGCACATTTTCTTTTTTCTGGCACAGCAGTGTCTGTATGGAGGTAGTGCAACGTTAAACATGACAAGTAGATAGTCAAAGTCTGTGTATATTTTGAGGTGTAATTGTGTAATACGTATTCCAGTAAGTTCACATAAATACACCAAAACAAGCTTTATCTGTGAAACAGCTGTGCAATCCAAATGCTTTAAGTCCAAGAGTAAATGACTTCTGCATGTTTCTCCTCTGCCATAACTGAGAGGTGTTCGACCTTACCAGCTTTCTCCATCAAGGACTTTCAACCTACCAAGAGCTGGCTAATAGCAAAGTAGAGCTGTGTTCATTTTTAGGTTGCTATAAATTTAATTTCTCATTTATTTGCTTTATACAATGTTTGTATTGTTATATTGTGGTATATATATTTTATTATTATCTTCTTCTTGAAATATGTGGTTTAATGTTTATTTTATTACACTGCTCAAAGGCCCAGTGAGGTAGAAGAGCAGGAAATCAGCAATAGCTATAGACTCTACATGCAGCAAGTCAGCTTGATGCGTTGTATTACTATGGCCTTTATACTTTGCTTTTCTGAAACACGATGAACAAACATAATGAAGATTTTCTGTCATTACTTCTTTGTACTTTTACATTGCATCCACAACCTTCATTGCTGTCGCAGAGTGTGATTTCTACTGTAGCGTTATGGCGTTGCAGAGGCCCGAGAAGTACGGCCATAGACTATAAAATGTGGATGTAGTCTTGGTGACGTCACCCATTGGTTTCTGAAGAGTAAGCTTGAAACTGGCAGTCGCCATGTTGGAAATGCTGCCTCAAACTAACTTTAGGTCAACTGAGAAACAGGCAAAGAGCTAGACGCTTTTGGGGCCAGGTCACTTCCTCCAATAGCAGATCAGTGTCATAGCGACTTCATCCCACCATTCTCACCTCACAAAGTCCTCAACCAGGCTCCCATACTCCCCCTCCTGTCCATCCCTGACACAACCAACAATCAGTGTCAGTGTTGTCAGAATATTTCTGCATGTGGCAGAGCTCAGAGTTGTAATGAAAGTCAACCTTAGGGCAGGGTGAACATAACAGGAGAGAGCACGGTCCCTAGTCTTCAGTCAGTGGCCCTTTTCAGAGTGCAATTTCACAACAGTGCTGCAACGAAGCTCTGCTGTCAGTCTTTGTACGTTCATATTGATTCCACAGCAGCATAATATTGGTGTCCCAGTCTGTGAATTCACATTTCAGCATTGTGAAAGCATTGCATGTAATGAAACATGTACATGCACACACACACACACACACACAGCGCTTATCTCCCCCGCTGGCTCAGCCGATCCTGTCTTTACCCTGCAACGCCTCTGTTACTACCTCCGATAGCGGTACAGTGGTGGGATCACTTCATCCCCCAATTACACCACCGTGACATTCATATTGAAGGAGAGACGTCAGAGTGGTGCAAATAGGGAGCACTTTAAACGGACAGTCTGAATGGGGCTAGTGATGACTTCCATTCTGAACGTCCGTTTGTTTGTCCCGGCAGGTTTCCTCCCTCAGAGTGCAGGTGGAGCGGCAACAGCGGGCGGCGAGAACGAGGTGGCGGAGTACGCCTTTAAGGACCTGCCCTTCAAGGACCAGATGGAGATGATGGTTAAGCGCGGCATTGTGGAGCAGTGCTGCCACAGACCCTGCAACCTCTTCGACCTGCAGAACTACTGTAACTAAGGCCTGGCTTTGTATAGCCTCGCTTAGCTTCTTGGCTAACATAGTCTACACCCCCCCTCCCGCTTCAGAAGAGGCAGTGCTGTCCTCTCTCTGAAAACCAATTGCTGTTAAATGAATTGCAGAGAAATGGATGAAATTATTTTTTCCTAAGAAATAAAGTTTCATGAATTGAGAACTTTTTTGAAATGTGTTCATTGATTTGCTGTATTTTTGTATACTCATTTATTTATTTTTGTTAATAACTAGGCCTTTATGGAACATCATTAGAAAGTGCATTTGTAAAGATTTACAGTTAAATTCACGGTGAAGCCAAATAATCCCAAATAAATTTAGTTAAGTGGCACCAATGAAAATTTCCACAGGACACAGTTAAGTACATTTCTATCCACTGCGTTCTTGAATATTTCAAACTTACATTAATTAGGGGTGAGGTCGGAGCAGGCCGTGGCTGAATATCGATATCTATTGCCGGTTGTGGATCACTGTTAGAGTCGGTCGTCTCTGAACCAGAATGTCGAGGGTTTGATCCCCAGCTCCTACAGCAACATGTCCTTCGGCAGTACACTCCCGCTGTTTGTTGGCAGCGTATAAATGTGTATGAATGGGATTACCTAATATGACCACGTCACATAGCTGCCTCAGCCATCAGTGTGTGGATGGGTGTGCAGCGTTAAAGCGCTTTGAGTAGTCAGAAGACTAGAAAAGCACTACACAAGCTTAAATCCTTTTACCAATCATCATTTTTTTCACAGATGGGCTCTCAATCATACCATTTTCATATGAAAAAACATACTGAAGTCCGGATGCATTAAAACAAAAAATGAACGTAGGCTATGACTGACAAAAGATTCCATTGACAATTTGATGGTAAGCCCTTAAAGGAGGAAACCATAACAAATAAATGTCTGCACATAAACACCCTTCTCAATCCTCTCTTCTGCTTCTCATACCGACAAACAAGGATTATCTTTTCTTGCTTTTTTCTTTTCCTCTCTTTCTGCTTCTTGTTCTTTTTACTCATTTTCTTATTATTATTCTTATTATTCTTATTATTATTAATATTACTATTATAATTACACTTTTGTTATTGTCTTTTCAAGTCTCTTCTAATTTATTGCTCAGTATTTGTAACCTGTCTTTCCTTTGTCTTCCTACGCTATGTCTAGTATGCTCTTTTTCTTTGTAAAGATATACATTTAATTATCTAAGAAAATCCCAGGCACTGCAAATGAAAATACAGAGCAACGCACAACCCTAACATACATACTATATTCATTAGCTCAAGAGGGCAGGTGTCAGTGTACAAATTAAATCATTTAAGGAGAATAAATGTTTCTTTGATATTTTAGCTATAACAAGATGCATGCAATAAATAAGGGGTTAAAAACTTTGAAATACAAACAAACACATGACAAAATTCTGTTGTCCCTAGCTTATCAGGAAGAAACCACTTGTAAAGAGAATTAGTGTTTTCTGATGTGTTCATTATTTTTAATAAGCATAATCCATCGATTCTATTGTGATCAGCCACAAGGGGGAGTAGTTCCACTTCAAATCAATGTTCCTGTAAGATAAGATAAGATAAGATACTCCTTTATTCTTCCCACAACGGGGACATTTACAGTGTTACAGCAGCAAAGAGCAAGGATGGCCAACAAGAGAAACACACAGTGCACAATTAAACAGAATAAGAAATATTTAAAAAAATATAAATAGGCCTATAAAGTGGAACATGTTATTGAACAAGGTGGCATGATAAACATAATATAATAATATTATTGCACAATGTAGTGAATTATCCGGTTTTGTGTGTGTGTTTTTGTGATCTACTGGGAGCAGGCTTGGTTAAACAGTGTGACTGCAGCAGGAAGGAAGGACCTGCGGTATCTCTCCTTCTGACATCACAGGTGTTGAAGACTGTTTTATGTATCTATTTTATGAATTCACAATTAATCAAGAAAAGGCTAACAATATTTTTACAATATTAATGAAATATAGCATGAAAAGGCCTTAACTCATGTCAAAAGATTTGACATTTTTGATTTTCTTTTAATTCATTCCGATTGAAAGTATTATATAACGTTTCGTATATTTTCTGGTTGAAGATCTTGAACCAGTCCAGTTGCCTTTGAATCAAGCGAATTTACCATGACCTGGATGACTGATAACCACACAGACAACGTTTTGTATTTTGTGAACCCCATTTAGTATGGAAGCCCATTTCCGCCAGTTAAAAAAAATAAAGAGATAAAAAAATCAAAATTATGAGATAAAAAAAAAAAATCGAAATTATGAGATAATAAAATCATAATAATGAGATAGAAAGTCGTAATGATGAGATAGAAAGTCGTAATGATGAGATAGAAAGTCGTAATTATGAGATAAAAAAATCGAAATTATGAGATAATAAAGTCATTTATTATTATTATCTCACAATTTCGATACATTCCATACGTTAACATTTTTTTGCATTTGATTTTTTATTTTTTTTTCAAGAAGCTACACAATCGCACAACCACTCATTGCAAAGTGGAACACTTCTTCAGCCTCATTGGCCTACAGGTCCCTATAGGGTAACATTTGTTTTCATGTAAAAGTCCTAATCAAATAGGCACTTTCGTTATGATTCCTAGTTCTCCTATGATTCAATTAAAGCTCGTTTACTTGTATTAATGGTGATGATTTATTTTCAATTAAATGATAATTCCCCCTCCAGTTTGTTGTATTTATGTCTAATGCCCGTGGGTCTGAAAGCTGATACACCTGCTGTGGGTCACCATAGTGTCACCGGCTCGTCCCGGCGGGGCGCGGCTGGGCGGGGTCAGGTGTCGCTTTGTTTACGTTCTCCTCCTCTCTGCTGTCTGTTCTGTCGGCGTTGTAAAGTTACCTGTTAGGCTCACCTGTAAATTCAGACAGCAGAGAGGATAAAAAGGAGCCCTTCTGTGTTTGTCGTCACGTCCGGTCCACAGTCTGTGGTCCGGCCCAATGTACCTGGAGAAAGTTCTGCTCGCTTTGTAGACGTTTTGTGTTTTGTTTCTTCCTCACGTTGTTTTCTCCATCATAGCAACACGATGCGAGACGTTCACCTGAACAATGAGACGTGCGGCGGCAACGGTAAGCAAAATACATCTCTCATGATTTTATTTGTCTGTAGGCCAGCCTAATGTCTCTGTCATGTTTCGTTGGCCAGGAAACACAAATGTAGGACAAAGTTGCCTTAATGTAGTCTACATAAAGCCTACTTTTACACTTCTTTTCATTTAAAACTCCTTTCATTTTTTTTCTGAACTCCACCGTTAAATAGGCTCATAGCCTAGATGTCTCTACATTTAAGCCTATCATTTAGCTTTACTTTACTTTTTTTTTTTTTGCACAAACTGGTGTTTTTGTAGGCCTAAGCCTATTGGACAGAAGGACACCTATAGCTTTATTTAGAAACTGATATAGACTATGTCTAGACTCAATTCATGTCATAGACATATGACTACTTAAAGTCTAAAATGTGATTAACTTAAGGTTGCTTTTTGTTTTAGATAGGCTACAGTGCATTTTCATGGTTACAATTGCCCCCAAATGCTGTTACATATCCCACCTATATGGGGACAACTCCAGCAGCTCTCAGCACAGCACTGTTTTGCAATGATTTATCCTATTCATCTTATATTTGTATCAGGAGATGTGCTCTTTGTAAAAAATAACAGCTCTAAATAATGTGTGGGTTGTCCTTTGAATTGAATAAATACTTTGGCACACTCCCTGACATTCCAGAGGGCCAGATCACACCCCCTGGATGGTGAGGGAGAAAAGTTATTCAATGTCATAGCCTACGGTATGACTTTTTGTTCACAAGGTCCAGCTGGTGCAATTGTTGTTTTATAAAAGAGACTTAGGCTATTTGACCCTCATACCCCTGTTTCAATGTCTAGCCATTGTTTAAGAAACAGCATTTATTTCCTAGTCTTCAATTATTAAAATCCTACCATGGACTTGTTATTGCAACATGGTCGTATCATGAGATTTTGACATTGTTACATCCCTACTGTCCGGCTTTAAGGACATGAGTTGTGTTAGCGAAGGAGGCAAAACCCCGCTCAGCTCTCTTGCCAGGCCGGACTGGTTTTAAATGTCACAGCTAGTCTACTGAAACTATAACGTTACTCTCAGACTGTAAAACTACTTTCCCATCTGAAAAATAAATTCAGTTCCTCGTCTTGCTCAGTCTCTCTTGTCAATAAATGATTGAAGATACAAAGTAAACTAACTTAAATAAACTGTTATGTTATGTGGGCGTGATGGTGTTGAAAGTAAACAATTACTAATGGACTAGTTCCATCCAAGGTCTCCAGCCCCAATGTGTCAAAAGTTTCCCCAATTTCAGAGAAGAGCTGCTCTGTGCGAGCTGGGGGCTGCTTGTGTGCGCTCACAGTTTCCAGAAAAACCTCTCTAATAAATGAATATGGCTAACTTCAATTAGTTTTATTTTTGGACTTTGTGTGCCTTTAATGGAGAGATGAGAGAGTGGGGAATAACATGCGGGAAAGGAGCCACAGGTGGGATTCAAACCTGGGCCGCCCGCTTGGAGGACCATATCCTCCACACATGGGGCGGGCACTAACCACTGCACCACCAGCGCCCCTAAATATGAAGTCAGGATATTTACTTCTCATTACCTTTGCTTACTTAATATCTTTATAGCGGTGCAATTTACAATCTATATATTTTTATAATCTGACAATTGCGTTCTTCATTAATAGATTAATTCATTTGTCAAGACAAGCTGCAGGGAGTAAAATATGTTATTTAAGGGCTTTAATCCTCTGTGTAAACAATCAGGCTTTTGATACAGAACTGTATTTGGATTGATAATAATTACTCCAAATCTACAAATGTTTTACTGATTGAAGTTTTGTGACACAAATTGCCTATTGCAACTATAGTTTAAAGAAATGATGATACTGCTGTATAAGTGAGCTTGTAATTGACAGTATCTCAGATGTTTAATTTGACCGCTAATCTGCAGATAAATAACATTTTTCAAAATCAGTCGAGTGTTAAGTTGCATCAGCAGATTTTTGGAGTTAAGAAATAAAAAGTGCACCAGGTGAACTGTAAAGCTACTGCAGAATAATCTTAAGAAACTTTATGGAAACTATAATTAAATATGAGTCATAGACTTCATGTCCAGGTTTTTTCTTCCAGTGTTTTCCTGCATTTAATCTTCCTATATCGATACTGAAGCATGTTTAACATCTGACATAGAAACCTATTAGTTTCCACTTTGTGTTGAGTTACTGCTGCACAGACAGTGATGTGTGTACTGAGGCCTCAGTGTTTACTGTGTAAATATTAAACTCTTCTGTCTCCTCATGTTACTCTAAACATTTCGGTGGTCAAACCTGTATTTCACAACCCGTCTGTATAGATAATCGTATTCAAAAAGAGGAGAGAGAGGCTCAGCTAACAAAGAAAATCTATTCACATCATTCTCTCTCTTACATTAATTATTTTTTTTCTTTGTCTGTTGACGCTGTAGTAACGAGGAAGTTTTGTCTTATTTAGGATTTTTGAGAAACTTCCTGTCAGGTCAACTCTGTAAAAATCTGATAGATTATTGATCATTTAGGAAAAAAAAGCAGAGAAACCAAAAAATAATCCCAAGAGGCATTTAAAAAAATTCCCATTCTAATTGTATCTTTTCTTACTGTATTTCAATCTTCTTATGCGCATAGTCCTGTGGACTTCAGGAACGTGAGGAATACAAAGGAGAAATCCTTCCTGCATATTATCCCATATGCTCTTTTGTAAAGCATCTTGAGATAACACTTGTTATGAATTGGCGCTATACAATAATGATTGATTGTTTGATTAATAGCAGATTTGCTTAATTTGTCTTTCTCTGCTTTTTGTTGAGGACTTTTTTTCTAATGTGAATAAAGTTTAGAGAAATTTTCCCTGGACAACAACTAATTGGGGATTATGTCTTATTGTTCCAAAAGCTCTATGTTGTCTTTTGGTTACTTAATCTGAACCAGGTCAGCTAATATGATACAAATTAAGAATGCACAATATGAGAAAAAACACTGCGTGCAGTTGCATTTCTCAACATTGCAATAGCGGTATGAAGTGCCAAAAACAATATTAATAAGAGTGCAGATTAGCTATGATTTACAGTTTCTGTTTCGGCGGCTGTGGCTCAGTTAGTCGTTGTCTCCCCCGCTCCTGCAGCAACATGTCCGATGTGTCCTTGGGCAAGACACTTAACCCTGACTTGCTCCGGCTGCTTCATCGGCGGTGTGAATGCTTATGAATGGGATTAGTTACTTCTGATGGTCTCACTACATAACAACCTCCGCCATCAGTGTGTGAATGGGTGTGAATGGGTGTGACATGACATATAGTGTGAAAGTGCTCTGAGTAGTCTGAAGACTAGAAAAGCGCTATACAAGCTCATGACCATTTACCATTCACACTCAGGCCGACCAACAATTAAAATGTGCACCAGCTGAGTTTAAAAGCAGAACTTTGTTGCATTCATTCAGAATTGAGCATGTATTTATTGTGATGCTCATATTGAGGTAATGATGAAATTGTAATTTACTTTGCAGTTGTAATAAACATTTTGTTGTATTAATTGTGGCCGGAAACACTCTGAGAACAACATTTTGTGGTACTATTTTTGTCTTCCTGAAGCCCATTCTGATTCCTAGATTGAATATGAGCCAAATTGATTACCCCTCAGACAAGTTTGATTTGAAAAATAAACATGTTGCTGGTGGAAAAACACTAATATTTACATTACGCTAACTTTGACTGACATACCTGTCTCTGCTAGCACCAGACTGTTGTTGTGGGTTATTGTCCCACGATACTTCACTTCAAAGCAGCTGGTTTTTGGTATTGGATCATTGCATCTGCTTTTACTAAAAGTATACTGTGTTGGTGAGAAGCGATCTGAGACTGGTGGACACAGGCATTAATCAAACATTGTCTGTACTGCAGATTCCAATAAATGAATTATTACAGAAGCTACTTATGAGCTAATATATTACAGCCTTAATACAAAATATCTTGTAAATGTTCTCAAATGTTGAGGGCCCCCCTTGAGGATAAGGAGCGTCTCTCATCGTTTTTGGATTGGATTTAGATGTAAACTGAATCCCTAAAACATGCTGACATCTGTGTGGATATCATCATTAAGACAGGTTCTTTCTCTGCAGTGCAGAGGTCAGATAGAAACGCAAATAGAAAGTCCGGCCCAATGTGGTCCAGCCCAAAGTATTTGAATCTTTGTTTTGCATTTAAGTTCTGATATACTGTAGATTACATCACTCATATTTATTTATTTTCCCTTTAAAGCTACATATATATATTTAGTTACTTTACAAAAAAATACTCTGGTGTAAAACCTTTCATATTCCTGTTGAGTTTGTGTTTTTATGTATTTTCTCCTTGAATAATGTTTAAGCCATGACACATTGAAATACTCCCAGAACACTAACAGGCTAACTCTCTCTCTGTCTCTCTCTCTGTGTCTGTCTCTCTCTCTCTCTTTCTCGCTGTCTCGCTCTCTCTCTCTGTGTCTCTCTGTGTCTCTCTCTCTCTCTCTCTCTCTCTGTCTGTCTCTCTGCCTCTCTCTCTCTCTCTCTCTGTCTGTCTCTCTCTCTCTCTCTCTCTCTCTCTTTGCAGGGTCTGTGGTGCGTTTGTGGTGTGGCTCTCAGTCCGCAGTGTGTGTGGTCTCTGGGGATCAACCGGTGTTCAATACACACCTGGACAACAACAATCAAACAACAGGTACAAGTCGTGGGTTAGGGTCTGTGTCTTTCATGATGAAGAATTCATAGCAGATATGTATAGACTACATTTGTTTTAACAAAGTGTGCACTATAAATGTATATCCAGAACTTTACAGTCAGTAGAACACAATCTACATGTAACACTGCAAAAAGTACATTAAAATAAAATTAGCTTTTAACAAACCAGAAGAAGACAATAAAGAACATGTGTTTAGCAGGGTTGTTTAGAAGCTAGATGCCAGCAGAATGAATTGACCTGGCTCACTGAGGAACATATCATGTGTGTGAAAGAGAATAACCTGATAATGTGTTTTTTGATTTTGCTTTAATCGACAATGAAATCCTTTGTTAACAGGAGGAAAACTTCCTTGTTATCACAGCTCATTGAGGAAGAGAAAAAATAGGTCCATTGTTTGCATGTAGAAGATATAGCTTAAAGTAAAACTGTGAGGTTAAAGGTTTCTTTCACCTTACCTTTTGGTGGGCAGAAAGTATGAAAGCATATTTAAACAGTGGTATTCAATTAAAATTCAACGAGGTTCGGATCTAAAAAATGTCCTCAAGTGAAGGTCCAGAACATTATAATGTCTAACTTGTGGTATGATTCAGTGACATTTTGAAGGAGCCTGGTAGTTATATGAATGTGAGTAGACTTCAATGTAGAATTCAATAGTATTACAACATTTATGATAAAGTGGATGGTGTCTATGAACATAAAAAATAATAGGCCTAATACATTTTCAAAAGATATTTTCTTTCTTCAATTAAAATCATGTGTGTATGTAATTACAAAAAAACATACAGACAGCTTTTGAAAAAGTTAGATTCATATAAAAAGGCTTACATTTGGAAATATTGAATAAAAGATGTTTGAGGTTCTGCTTTTTTTCTTTTTACTGACCAACTTTCAAAACACTTCATACAGCTTTAAGTCCTGCTTCTCTCTCTTCCTCTTAAGTCCCACTGTCTACAATTCTACAATTCACTTAGTAGACGCTTTTATCCAAAGCGACGTACATCGCAGAGTAAGTACAACACAATCAAGGATCTAGAAAAAAGGGAACAATGTCAGTAAGAGCAAGCAATCAGCTTTGAGTCCGATTGGACACACAGGTGCTGACAGGAAGTGACCAGAGGCAAAGCACAACATTGACGGCAGTTCTTGAGAGCTCTAATCAGTATAGAAACCATCTTATAAGTCATCGTTATCAAACAAAAACAATCGTCACAACCACCATCATCATCAATAATATTGAGACCATCATCATTAAGTTAGTAGGTATTCATGAAAGAGCTGGGTCTTTAGCTTTTTCTTAAAGGTGCAGAGGGACTCTGCAGATCGAATGGAGTTTGGAAGTTCATTCCACCACCGGGGGACAACAGAGGAGAAGAGTCTAGTCAGAGACTTGGGACCCTGTTGTGAAGGTTGGATCAGACCCAGAGCGTAGTGGGCAGGAGGGAGTGTAGACCTAGATGAGAGAGTTAAAGTAAGGAGGAGCCATTTTTGTCGCTGTTTTGTAAGCGAGCAGCAGAGTTTTAAATTTGATGCGAGCAGTAACTGGGAGCCAGTGTAAGGAGATGAATAGCGGAGTGACATGTGCTCTTTTAGGAAGGTTGAAGACCAGTCATGCTGCTGCATTTTGTATCATTTGCAGAGGTTTGATAGTGCATGTAGGAAGACCTGCCAGTAGAAAGTTGCAATAGTCGATGCGTGATACCACAAGAGCCTGTACCAGGAGCTGTGTAGCATGTTCTGACAGGTAAGGACTGATCTTCCTGATGTTTTACAGGGCAAATCGACATGACCGGGCAATCGAGGCTACTTGAACCATAAAAGTTAGCTGGTCATCAATCATGACACCCAGGTTCCAGGCAGACTTTGTGGGCATGAGTTTGGTTGTTCCAAGCTGGATCTTGATCTGTGGTTGCATAGAGGGACTGGCTGGGATGACGAGGAGCTCAGTCTTTAAAAGGTTGAGTTGAAGGTGCCGTTCATTCACCCATTTAGAAATATCAGCAAGGTATGATGAGATTCTTACAGAGACTGTAACATCGTCTGGTGGGAATGAAAGGAAGAGCTGGGTATCGTCAGCATAGCAGTGGTATGGGAAGCCATGAGAGCAGATTATTGAACCAAGTGAGCTTGTGTATATGGAGAAGAGAAGGGGACCAGGCAATGATCCTTGAGGTACCCCTGTGGATAAGCTGTGCGCTTTGGACACTTCTCCCTTCCACGACACTCTAAAGGATCGCCCAGAGAGGTAGGACACGAACCAGCAGAGGGCAGATCCTGAGATGCCAAGTTCAGAGAGCGTGGATAGGAGGATTTGATGGTTGACTGTGTCAAAGGCAGCAGACAGGTCTAGAAGTAATAGAACTGAGGACTGACCTGCAGCTCTGGCAGCTCGTAGCGATTCTGTGACTGACAGTAGTGCAGTTTCAGTAGAGTGGCCCCGCTTAAAGCCTGACTGATTTGGGTCAAACAGATCGTTTCTGGACAGAAACTCAGAGACTTGCTTAAAGACTGTGCGCTCAAGTATTTTTGACAGAAAGGGCAGAAGAGAAACCGGTCTGTAGTTTTCAACCTGGGCTGGGTTTAGTGTGGGTTTTTTGAGCAGAGGGGTGACCCGAGCTTGCTTGAATGCGGTGGGGAACACACCCGTTGACAGAGAGGAGTTGATGATATGCTTGAGTGCAGCATTAAGCAGAGAGGAAATGGTCTGCAGGAGGCTTGATGGCATTGGGTCCAGAGGACAGGTGGTAGGCCGAGAGTCTAGCACAAGCTTAGAGACTTCATCCTCAGTCAGAGAGGAGAATGAGTCGAGTGAGGCACTTTTGGTTGGTGCCTTTGGGCTGAGTTGGGCAGAAAACTGGTTACTGATGGTTGCAACCTTTTCAGTAAAATACGAGGCAAACATGTCTGGTGTGAACAGATCGGAGGGTGGAGGAGGAGGTGGTTGAAGCAGTGAGTTAAAAGCAGAAAAAAAAGTATCTGTGGCATTGCATATCTTGTTCTGATAATATGTTGTCTCGGCCGTTTTCAGGCTGGAGGAGAATGAGACAAGTCTTTGCTTATAGTCATTGAGGTCAGCGGACTGTTTGGATTTTTGCCATTTTCTCTCTGCTGACCTCAGCCCTGCTCTTTGCTCTCTTATGACTTCCGTGAGCCATGGGCTAGGGTGGGTTTTGCGAGCGGGTTTGGACACCAGAGGGCAGAGCTTGTTCAGAGATGAGGCTAGTGTGGAGCCGAGTGTGTCTGTATCCTCGTCTGTAGAGAGTGCGGTAAAGACTTTTTGGGCAGGCATGGCAGCCATTACCTCGTTAGACAGCTGAGCTGGCTTGAGCGATCGCATGTTTTGGTGGTATGACACCATTTGTGGCTGTGCCTGAGGGAGTTCCGGCAAGGAGATTGTGAATTGATTAAAGAAGTGGTCTGATAGATGCTGGGGGGTGACAGTCAGGTTTGCTGTCGAGCAGTTCCGAGTCAGGATTAAATCAAGAGTGTTGCCAGCTTTGTGGGTAGGAGGGGTTGGGACCTGTGTGAGGTCAAATGAGGATAGGAGAGCAAGGAAGTCTGTTGCCTGGGCTTTATCAGTGTGTATATTCATGTCTCTCATTACAATCAGTGGTGTGCCATCATCAGGGATTTCTGAGAGTAGCATGTCCAGTTCCACAACAAAATCATTCAGATTACACCCTGGTGGGCGGTAAATGTACATTTTAATAGGAGCAGTTACCATGATTGTGTGATATTCAAATGAGGAGTTGTTGCTCAGTCAGAAGAGTTTATTGAATTTCCAGGTATTAGAAATGATGATACCTGTACCACCTCCACGTCCAACAGAGCGGGGTGTGTGTGAGAACACTGTGTCAACAGAAAGGGCAGCTGGTGTGACTGTATTTTCTGGGTGGATCCAGGTTTCAGTAAGGGCAAGTGCCTGAATGTCTGACATTTTTGCAAGTGCTTGGACGAATTCAGCTTTATTCACAGCAGATTGACAGTTCCAGAGGCCAAAAGTAAATGAAGGGTGGGTAGAAGAGGCTTTCTTAAGCAGAGACAAGTTGTTAAGATTTTGTTGTCTATGACAGATGTGTCTTTTCCTGTTCCCATAAATGACAGAGATTTCTTTGTAGCACGTGTTGCATATAGCAGATAACCAGAGAAAATAGGCAAAGCAGTAGTCGTGGATGCACGGGCTCTGTGGCCACGCTGAAGCGTCAGACGCTTCCTAGTTTTCAGATCAGTGCTTGTTCTGCTGCAGTTTCGGATTCAGACTCTTTTAAGCTTGGATTTGGTCAAGTGAAAAATATTCCGCGTCCACAAACATGGCTCAGTGTAATCATTAATCACAACTGAATACAGTGCATTCTTTGTGTTATTTTTCAGGTCCGATAGTGTCATTAAACACACACACTGCATGCCTACACCCTCATGAACACACACTCAGCTGACTGAATGTTTGTCTGCAGATTTACAGATACACACTTCTTACAACCTGTGGCTGGGTCTGACTCTCGCTCTGCTGTCCGCTTTCCTGATTGGTGGGAGTGTTATCCTGAAGAAGAAAGCTCTCCTCCGTTTGGCCAGAAACGGACAAACCAGAGCAGGTGAGCCCAGAGGGATGACTGAACTCATTTCTTTGAAGTAACATGTTAAGGAGAAAGAGGTCTCAATCCTGAACATGACTGACTGTTTTCATTTGATATGTAAAAATGATGTTCATTATAAGAAAAAGTTATTTTCCACAAGATTTTGACATTTGTGTGTCATTTATTTGTTTTCAGCATTACTTCTTTTGTGCAGTTGCATTTTTGGACACATCGATATTGACCGTGTTGAGTTCTTTCTCTGAAAATAAGAAAAACTAAGAGACAAACAAGGAAATAAGAAGGGATAACATTTTCTTCCTTTTCACAGCAGTTGTTAAAGAAAATTTGATCAGTGCATCCTTAATTGTATCTCCAGGGATTTAACCTCTGTGTCACTTGTTTGAAAGTAAGCTGGTCAAAGTATTCCATACTTCGATCATAACACATGTTTTGAAACATTTAAATTGTTTTAATCATAGATTTTATCTAAAAATACCCCCGAAAAATTCTGATCATCCATCATATGCCTTTATTGGAGAGACATGTCAGTGGATAGATTCAGAAATTGGGGGGAGAGAGAGAGTGGGGAATGAAATGCGGGAAAGAGCCACAGGTCAGATTCCAAACATGGGCTGTTAGCCTTCGAGGACTTGAATCTCTGTATGATTCAGGCGCACCGTCCACTAGGCCTCAGGCGTCCCCCTCAGTCATATTTCTAATCAAAATCTGCTGTGAGAGAATGAGAGAGCACTGTCCTAATTGTCCTACAATCTAGACAGTGTGCCAGAGTTTGCCTTCAATTTTTGTAACTTAAAACAAAAAAATACCCAATGTTTTGGTGACCAGGACTTTTTTAGTTACTGTGGTATCAAAACAGGGATCATAATTGTATTAGTTTTACTAGAGCTGTATCAAAGTTTTTAAAACCTGGTCTTTTTACAACCCTTTTTTGATAGTTTTTTACTGAACAAAGACAAACATTTTTCACCTCAATCAACTTCAAATCTGTACAAAGGTTGAAGCCTTTTCAAGATGGTTGTAAACGATTGCTTTAAATCAGGTGACTTCCTTGATGGAAAAAGATTATCCTAAAAAGAATCAGAAGAATGTGGATTGGACATGAGATCAGTCGTCAGTTGTCTCAAACATGTACAAACGTTTTCTTTTCTACTATTCAACCATGAGACCAGTTAGAGATAAAAATGTTTGATCACTTGACTTGAGCTGCTTTTCAGGAAACATAATCTAAATGTTTGGGGTACCTAACAACAAAAGCAGACAGCGACCATGGAAGCTAATAATGTTTTTTTTTATTTTTTATTTTTAATATTTAGTTTGTTACCTTAAAATGACCAATATTATAAATGGGAATTATTTAATGTTACAAAAACACAACAATGAAGATTATTAGTGTGTTCTCAAACAAACGAACAACAATAGAGTTCAAATTTAGAATCTTGGTGAGATACTTTTAGTATTATGAAGGCTAGAGTTAAATCTAACAGGAAAAAAGGATGTTTTTCTACTTATTTCTGTTTTAGAAAATAAAATGGATATGCATGTATGATGATAAGTCTGATGACTTCTGTTTATGGTGCGGTTGTGTTTGGACTCCCCTACCAAGGCTGAAGAATTAAACTAAACAACCCTTATTATTTCAGAATACCACGTACTTTATTGCCAAGTGCAAGGTGAAGTTCAAAATGTCAATAATACCAGCAGACAGGAAGCTGTGGATGCTACCATGGCTATAAACCCACACAACATGATAACCCTTTATACAGAGATTTGATAGTGTTAAAAGCAATTCAAAGTTATACAGGGTGAACTGAAAGCTGGGACATTGTGTATCACTGAAGCTGAAGACATAATCAGTGTCAAATGGGATTGCTGCAGTTGTCTCTCCAACCTTCGTCTCGTGGGTCACCCTGAGGGGAAGGAAGGAACTGGCTTGTGTTAATTTTTAGAGTAGCTGCCTGAGGTGCTTGGGGCAGGTAACTTTTCTAGGCTACTATTGATTGAGAGAGCACACAGACTTTAAAGCTAATGACGCTGAAGTTCAGCTTGTTTCGCAACCCGGAGTGGTGATGAAGAAACTCCTTAACTATGTGGACAAGAAACGGATCATGAGGGCTGTCAGAATGAAAGGAGAGCCTCAATCGACTGGTGGTGCTCAATGTCTTACTTTACATGGATTTGCTGGTTTTCTCCCAATAATTCATGGCTCATAGCCTATTTTGGTATAAATATCTAATCATTGTTAATTTAAATGCAGTTCTGAAAACCAATCTCCTTAGTGTGTGCATGAAGAAATCACCCTGAAGTATTGATAGAAACAGTTTATCCATGTTTGGAGAATTTCATTGGCTATAAGAAGTGTCAGTCGTTGGCACAGCATCTTGAAATTAGCTGTCAGAACAGGGGGCGGCACCTCCTTTCAACAAAGGCTCTCATTGGATGTTATGGGCCGTCATGAGGTGTCATCAAAATGTCAGCAAAACAGAAGAGGTAAATTTAAAGCAATCCGTGGATCTTTATGGATGTAATGTGTTTTGATATCTTCTACTGGATTTGAATGGTAAGTTAAAAGAGATTGTTTGTTTGTCAGTGGTCTGACAGATGCGTAGATTGTGGCTGCTGTAGGGTTTGAATCCGCACACACCGGGCCGTCACTGTGTGTGCATTCGTATTGTAAATGGTGATGTGTAATATGGTTATGAGGTCACCATTGATAAATGTAAGCGTCATATTCTCCAGATGTCACTCATATCCTCCTCTTATGAAAATTATGATAATTGGTCATTTTTAGTAACAGTATTTTTTCCTAAAAATGTTTTTTCATGACCAACGTAATGAGGTATTATGGTTTTGTGTAATAAACAAGTGACTTCTGGCTTTAATTGAAGTTAGTTATTAATTATAAGATTTGATAACCAATAAGCTGTCTTAAGATGGCACAAATATTAGCATCCGGCTACTTCTTAGCCAACTCTGTAGTTTGATAATGTTACAGGATACAACAAGGAAGGGCCTTTGTATATAAGATAACACTTCTTACATTTAATGTGTGTGTGTGTGTGTGTGTGTAGGTGATGGAGGACACGGCTACTTGAAGGATTGGCTGTGGTGGGGAGGCCTGTTAACCAGTAAGTATTTTTTATCTCATTTTATAGTCTATAAATTATTTATACGTACATATAATTGATTCTCAGTCAATATGAGAGGAATAAAATAACTAGAAATGGTATGTTGTTTAATAATTCAGTGACTGTGAAATCGTTTTGTATGTTACACTGTCAGATGTGTGTGTGCAATATACTGTACATGGAGTATGTGCAATATGCAAAGTGTGTGTGAATGTGCAATCTTGGGTTTTAAATAAGCTGTTTTGTTGTTTTGTTTTTAAAATATTTATTATTATCTATATCTCTTTTATGCCATCTACACTGGTAAAGTTAGCCATCCAATTTGTTGTACTGTACTTGTGAACCACAATGACAGTAAAGATCTAGCTATATGAATTTTGTTAACAGCTTTCTCTATGTATGTGCAGCACAGAGATTCACAGGTCCTAAAGCCTTGGTTACTACAAACATTGTAAGCAGAGAGATACTGATTATGTTAGTTGATGACCAGCAGCAGTGTGATGTCACACCACTTCAAAAGTAAAGTGTGCATCAGTATTAACTTATCCATTTGGGTTAATTGTCTAACCACCGTCTCTACCACTGAGCCCCTGACATTACACTAAGTCACAGTGCCACCTATTGGCAGTCGGCAACTTCCTGTTTCGCCATGAAACAGACAGTAGGTTGCACATTCACCAAACCTGGTAGAACAATCAGAGAATTGATATTGGTATTGTCTCAGTGGCGCCCCCTACAATGTTTTTAAAAAAGTCAGCCCCCAAAGAACTTTGAACCTAGGATTCTGAAATTTGATGAACCTAGAAAAAAAGCCTGTTGGACTCATATCGTCAAGTTGACCAGAAGTCAACTATTTTAAATGTTTTATTATTTAAGGGTTCAATTATTTAAGGGTTAAAAAAAAAACATTACACTGTCCGGGCTTTGACAAAATATTTGCATGTTGATTCCAATCTCCCTCTGTCTGTCTCTCTCTCTCTCTCTATCTCTCGATCTCTATCTCTGTGTCTGCAGTGGGAGCTGGTGAGGTGTGTAACTTTGTCGCCTACATGTTTGCTCCTGCCACCCTGGTAACTCCTCTTGGCGCTCTGAGTGTCCTCATCAGGTAGCCTTCTTCACAAAGTTCAAGTTTCAGTTATGCTTCACTCCATCAGCACAGAGAGTCTTTAAAGGCAGAATGTGCAACATTTTCCACATAAATACAGCAGAAATCCAGTATATCCTCTGCAAATATCTCTCTGAGTCATGACTGTTTACAGTGAGTGTGAAGGGCGAGACCCACGGTCTGTGATGTTGTCTAAGCCGTATTTACAGCTCGTTTACACGGACGGGACGGCTGGCCATCCCATTGTGTATAGAAGCAGTTTAAGTGAGGGACAAGAGAAAAGAAGAATTCCATGCTGTACTCACTGCTTATTTAAATGTCACATAAGCGTTTTTAGATCATTGTCAATCCGTGTAAATTTACATGCAACGAGAAGCTTTGAGCTAACTAAAGAGCGCTACCATGAGCCAGCTAACACAACAATGCAGCTCGATTCAAGGACAATTTTTTCCACCGCTTGTGCTTATCGCTTAGTGCTTAATTATGGTGCGTTCCAATTTGAGGGATTGGAGGTGTGTCGCTGTAGGAGAGCGGAGGATTCAGTGTAGGGGAGGTGTCACCAAACAGCAGTTTGTTTTGGGCGACATCTACTGGATCAAAATGCACATTCTTCCTTAAAAGTAAATTTAAAAAAAACTGTTTAAGGTCACACTGTTAGACCGAAACCGTACTCTAACTCTGTACACATACTGTAGAGTTCAGATTAAATAACGAGACATTTCTTTCTTTGTCTATGGGATTAATGGATAAATACATTAATGCTGTTTTTTTTTTTTTCTCCCTTCAGTGCAGTTCTGTCGTCCCACCTGTTGGGGGAGATGTTGAACGTTGTGGGGAAGCTTGGTTGTTTGCTCTGCATACTGGGAAGCATCTTACTGGTTATCCACGCCCCACAGGAACGGGAAGTGACATCACTAGAGGACATGACCAACAAGTTGCTGGAGCCTGGTGAGCTCAGGGTTAATCTAAAGTGGGTCTATCAGTGTGTTTACATGCAGGTTTTTTCATAATTAATTGATTAGATTTTCTATGTTAACCTGATTTATAGCATGTGGTTTGCTTCACTTTATTCACATATCTGCCAATTTCCACTGATATCCCAGGGTAGGATGTTAAAATGGAATACAATCTTTTTGCAAATTTTATAAACAAGATTCTGATTGATCATCTACTAAAAAGACAAATAGAATTGACAATTAGTCATAATTTAAGGTAAAACAACATATTTTACAAGCTTTTAACTTGTAAAGACTAAGTCACAAATTCTAAAAATAGCATTCAACAAACTTCTCAGCTCTTCTATTCACACTAGCTATTGAAGCTAGTTAACATAAATCTACTGCTTTATTCCCTTCCCCAGTGGTGGCAGGTGAAAAATAGACAAAGATGGTCACTAAAAATAACTATATATATATGTATTATGCCAATGAATAGCGCACATCATTAAATACCACAACATAAAATACCATGATTTATATTTGTTTCAGTAACAGTATTTAATACTAGATTGTGAGTCCAGTTGTTGATTCAAATACTGTGTATTTGTTATTTGGGGGTCTCCTCCTTTTGGAGGGGTGGCCACAGAGGGCACTGGCCCCTGTTGGCCCCTGCCTAGAACTGCCCATGCCCTTCCCTGTTGTATCCTGTAACATTATCAAACTACAGAGTTGGCTAAGAAGTAGCCGGATGCTAATATTTGTGCCATCTTAAGACAGCTTATTGGTTATCAAATCTTATAATTAATAACTAACTTCAATTAAAGCCAGAAGTCACTTGTTTATTACACATTATCTTTCAGTTGCTGATTGGAAAGCCATAAAATGAATACAACTTGACAGATTACCTAAACGTATATCATTTACAAGTCTTTTATAGAACAGGTCACCATGTTAATATTGTGAATCACAAACTTTGTCATTCCTTGCAAGTTTTAATGGATTTTGTTCAGATGGTTCTCTATCACTTCTGTTATCCTCTGAATCTGCATGTGAGCTATGTTCAGGTCAGAATTGATAATGTTTCCAAATCTTTGGTTTACAAACAAATGTCTGCAGAACTAATGACATTGATGACTTTCTTAAACCACTGGAGAGGAATGTGGATCTATAATTATATTGCTGTTACTTCCACTCTGAATTCTCGGTGACAACTGTGTACTGTGTGTGTATTAGGTTTCCTGGTGTACATGTCGGTGGTGTTGGTGCTGTGTGCTGTGCTCGTGCTGTATTTCTCTCCACGGGTCGGTCGCTCCAACATCCTCATTTACATCAGCATCTGCTCGCTGCTCGGAGCCTTTACCGTCTCCTCTGTGAAGGGCCTCGCCATCGTCATCAACACCGGTAAGAGACAGACGACATCACCATCTTCTTACACACTATCAATGCCTAGAAATCAAAACTAAAAACCAATCCATTAAAAACATGTGGGAAGACTAACAGAAAATGAATTTGTTCTTGCACTTACTCTTTTTTTTGTGCTAATAACATTTGATGTTCCTCCAGACATTGAAGCTATAAATCGATCTCAGTCACTGTTGTTGTTGTTGTTGTTGTTGTTGCTGCTGTTTGTTGTTGCTCTTTTTCTCTATTCATTTCTTTCTTTCTGCATCTCTCTCTATCTCATCAAAGCAGTTATTCCTTGCCTCTGTACTGTAACTAGGATAAATGTCGCCTAGTGCTCATGATGGATTCATGTTGGGTCTTTATAGATAATATAACAAAGAGTAAGATCTTTTACCAGCTCATTTGTAAAGTGTTTTGAGATAACGTGTTATAAATGGGTGCTTTTACAAATAAATATGAATAAGTTGATTGAAATTGGCCATCGAATGTGTTCGTTACCTAATCTTTTGGGGGGGGTTTCTGTCCATAAGGCTCCCTAGTGTCGACTTAGCAGTCAGTCACATAGAAACCTTTAAAAACTGTATCGTAGATGTCTTTGATAAAATGGTCCTACTTGTCAGTTGATTTATTTCCCTAGGTAAACATTTTCCTTATGGTCTTAACGTCTAGTTTCAAGTCTTCTCTGATACAGCTTGAAGTTTATTTTGGAAATGACAAACCTGTTTAGAGATAAATAGACCAGAAAGCAGGGGAGGATTTACCCTGGGGTTGACAAGCTGTTAGTATGGCAACCTGAAAAACTTCTCTTTAAGCATTGGGTTCAACTAAAAGACACTCTGGACTGGTCTTGTCTGTTTTTTTTTTTTTTTTCTAACTAGCCAAAATGACCCTTTAATTTGTATCAGGGTACTAATGGATAGGGTATACACTTTAAAAAACAGGATAGTGCTACTGTAAGCCAATAATGTAGGCTTTGTTAATCCTTTACATCAGGCTTTGTGATGTGATGCATACAGTTGGCAATCACATGCAGGGAAGGATTCAAACCCGGGCTTTCATTTGGAGGACTATGGCCTTCGTACCAGAGGCACTCACACTAACCACTAGGCTACCAGTGCTCCCTACATTCACTTCTTTATTAGCCATTTTTAGTCTAAAACACTAGAACTGAACTTTTGGTGGTATAGTTTCATTTGGGGATGTTTGCTTTCATATGTTTTTATAATAAAGAAGTTTTAATAGGATATAGTCTTTCTGCTGCATCTATTTTTCTAAAGTTATCATCATGAGTATGCTAGTGTTTGAAGTGCAAAGATAAATCTGTACTCCTTTTAACACAGTTTTTTCCCCCTCTCCATGTAGTGTTTTATGATATTGCAGTGCTCGCTAATCCCCTTACCTGGATCCTGTTGCTAACTCTTGTTGTCTCCATAATAACACAGGTGAGCTGTAGTTAGTTTCATCCTCATGAAGTGTATTTTCTACTGATTTTGCTGACCTAAAAAGCTGGTCTTCAGGTCTGTGGCATATTTTTAATACTTAAGGAGCTCTTTGCTCTAGAAGAAAGAGTGTGAACATAGCTTTAAAAATGTAACTTAGTTGCAAAAATAGGACTTGAGCTCCCAGTCACTAAAGTTTTCTGGACTAGAGCTGGACTGACCTACTTTTGTTGAAAAGAAATGACTGGAAATGTTTCTTTCATAATCTTCCTTTCACCCTTACCTACAGGTGAACTACCTGAACAAGTCCCTGGACACCTTCAACACCCTGCTGGTATACCCCATCTACTATGTCCTCTTCACCTCTGTGGTTCTGTGCTCCTCCATCATTCTTTTCCAGGAGTGGAGGAGCATGGCCATCGTGGATGTGGTCACCACGCTGGGAGCCTTTGTTGTCATTGTGGTGGGCGTGGCCATGCTCCACTTCTTCAGAGACCTGCAGGTTGGTGCTCCATGGCCTACACATTTTTGTTGTTGTTTTTTGGCTAAAATTAAGAGCCATTAAAATCTTAAAGGAAGAACATGCAATTTTCCACAACTTAAAGTAGGTTTGGTAATTTTCTCAAGAAACACTTTTTAAGATTTTGGTTGAAATTGTCTTTTAGGTCCTGACAGAAATTAATAACTCATGTGCTCTGAAAAAGGAACAAAGAAAATCTGTCATCTGTAGCAGTTGTAAGCCTGTAAAAACTTTGACCAATGTCTGCACGAGGTGCCATTTTTATGAACCAATCACGCCTCCCTGTCTCCCTGCTCGTTCTCTACCCCATGCATGCACGAGCCCACACTCAAAGCGTGAGCTGAGCTCTGCTTCTGGACCAATGGCGCTTGTGCATGTAAGTGAGGGGCGTGGCTTTTGAGGGAGCACAGATGGGAGGGGGTGGGTGTAGATGTTCAATACTAAACTCTATTATATTATACTGTATAGTAGGATACAATACCATACTCTACAATACTTTATATATGATGATATATGATATGTTACTATATTATTATATTAATACATTAAAACAAACAACAATCCACATGTTAACAGAGATGCACATGCCAAAAAAACAAAACGGAAAGAAACATTTATTGCAGAAGATCTGCAGAGAAACACAACATAACAAAACAGTTGAGACTGTTTCAAGCCACTGGTAGTTAAAAACTTCATAGAGTTTGTTTCAATTTTGTATAAACAAGTAAACATCCAAACAAAACCTTCCATAGAAATTAAGAAAATAATAAAAAAAAACATACGATTTTTGAAAAGGTTTGATGTTCTCTGCAATGCTTTTCCGCATGTCAAATATTTAATGTGTGTTTGCTGTGGTCCATATTCTTAAATTACCAAACCTACATCTTGCCGCCTCATGATGCTTACATGCCTGACACCTTTGGCCATTCAATCTGCATTTGATTTATCATTTTCCTCAAGTCATTTTGCATTTTGAACTGTAAGACTAGCCCTTACCAATCTATTAAAATGTCAGTGAAAATCAGGTGGATCGTCCTCTGAAGTACCCACGTCTCAGTGCGCCCTCAAAGAGCAGTTAGCCTGAACACACCCTCAGTGCTCTTAGATTCATGATGTAACTTTCCTATTTGTCCCAGGGTTTAAATCGTCCCAACAATACTAAGCTTTGACAGCTAGCAAGTTGTAATGCATCCCTTAATGAAACTATATAATAACTCTAATGTTGCAGCTTTTTACATACTTCTACATTCTCAAATGTCTCGCAGGTAACGATGAAAGAGCTGACCAATCAGCTGACCCTCACGGTCGAGAGGGAGGAGCTTGCAGGCGAGGTTTCTGCCAATGTACAACCAGGAGGAGCTGCAGGAGTAGCTGCAGGAGGAGGAGGAGGAAGAAGTAGAAACACAAAAGAAGATAAATATGGACTGATGGACAACATGATGATAGAGAGTCTTCCTCCGATGAGAGAGGATGGACCCAGAGTCTTCATCATCAGCTGAAAGAAATGTGAAGAAGAAACAGAGACACAGGTTGTGTTTCCTCACTGGATTTCTAGTTCAGACTGATCTGAGGTGGAGTCCTGACTCTGACTGATGCTGTGCAGTAATTTAAAGGTCCAGTCCTCTAGTTTGACGACGTTACATTTTATCACTGAGGTCCATCAACTTTTCAAAGACTTTTCATCACTTCATGTCTGTTGCATCTTAAGAAAAAGCAATGACCAGCTTTTTAAATGTTAAACATTTTAGATTCTTCAATTTATTTTTATGGAGTACCTTTTTCCACAAATACATAGTAAGACCTAAGGGAAAAAAATAGACGCAGAAGTATAAAATATGTTCACTAATGTTCTTTGATTATATTTCTGTTGACTACTTTAAAATGAAAATAACAACCAATAAATCACACATCAAAACATAAATAAGGTCAACAATTTAAAATAAACATGTACACCTGCTGTGTTAAAACCAGTGACTAAAAGACTCCTTAAGGCAAAGACGTTGTGTACACATTTACATTTTAGAATAAACAGTAAATACAAACAATAATGTCTAAAACCTGTTGACTGACAACTAATTGAATTAGTATTTATGATTATTATCATTATTGATCGTGAAGGTTGATATATCAGGTCTCAAAAGGCTACAGTGTTCAAGGAAGAGTTCAGTAAGAAGAATTAAAAAGTTAGAAGACAGTAAAAACATGAAAATTAACAAAATGAAGAATTCCCAGTTAAAACAAATCATTTCAAAAACACAACAATAACAATAAGTATGGACTGTCAATTTCCAAAATAATATTATCAAGTTGATTACATTTTCCACATATCGCACTCATATGAGTAAGCTCCTTTTAAAATGAGAAATATTGTTAAATTTGATTTAAAAATGCTAAAAGAGCTACAAAGTGATGTCAAAGACAGAATTAGAGAAGAACAGCTTAAAAGTTATAAAAATGACTACAAAGAAACAAAATACTAAAAATGAAAAATCTCTTGTAAAGACTCAAACTATATCGATGTCCTGATGCCACCTGATACCTTCTTCTTCTGGAGATTAGTTGTAAATAAGTAATGAGCTGTATTTTGAAGTGTCTCACAAACAGGTAGAAGTGTAACTGTCAGCAGGGTGGATGACAGTGCATGTTGGGGGGGGGGGGGGGGTGTCTCTCTTCTCTTCTCTTCTCCCACATGGTTGCAGGGATAGGACAGGGAAAAAATGTATGACTTCACTCTCTTTTTCAGGAAGTCTTTTCTCCACAATGTATTTACTAGGGCTGTCAGCATTAATGCATTTATTGCCAATAATTAAGGTCTGAAATTAATGCTTTTAATTTTTTTTTTCGCGTTCATTGAATGCTATTTTGAGCCTTTAGACACACCGTACAACTGCTGAGCCTCTGAATGAATGTCTCATTTCACTTTAATACAAACAAACTGCGTTACAGCTTAGTTGAGGAGTCAAAAGTAATATCCACCTTTATGACATCAAACATTCTCTTTTACTGTTCCCTTTAGTGGTTTTAATTTAGTTTTCAATCTGTAACAAGTCCCTTTTTCTGTGGTTAATTATTTTATTTATTTAATTTGTGACATTAAATGAATGGAACAAAATATTTAATTGTCAACTGGTTCAAACTAGAGGCCGTAAAATCAAACAGATATGGGAATTAGAATAGATTACTGTCTATGAAGGAAACGTATTATCAGGCATGCACACTTGTTGTTAGACTGTAAGACTGTGGTGCAGAGTGAGATATCTGTACTTAATGTGTTTTTGTGATGTTCTTATTTTTCTGCAGTTTAAACTAGGGTTGTCAGTTTTAGATTTGGAGTCTATTTTAGGAAAAATCAATCAATGCATTCTTAGACACCATGGCAACAAAAATAGAAATCCTATAGGTACCCAATATTGGGTCAGTTCTTGTTTTTGATTACCAACAATTGGAGGCAAACTCCTGCACATTGTCTCAATTGCTCCAGACTTAACTTCTCTCTGCTGACGGCTGGAGTCTATGAAGCAGCCAGATGACATTAACACACACTGATCATCATTCAGTTTTACCGTTTTATCTTGCAGCAAAGGGAAACGGAAAAAACATATACTGTACAATACATCACATGAGGTGAATAATAAAACTCATAAAACAACTAGTAATCTGAAACCCAAACAATTGGGACCACTGTTTGCAGTTTCCAATGTGTGACACTGACAAGTTGTGTACACACTGAATGATGATCAATGGACTGTGTGCATGTATAATGTGTTTCTGTTTCTGTTGCTGAAAACTTTTTGTCTATGAAGCTCAGAGGAAGAACCTAAATAAAGACTCACTTTGTTCTTATTTAACCCACTGTTGATGCTCAGTTCCATTATTTATTGTATAATCCTCATTAAAACTCACTGTTTTTCTAAGGTCACAGGGATTTTTAAATTACTGATGTGTGGTACGTGTTGTGTAATCGGTAGTTATGCATGTCTGTGAGGAAGGCAGATTTGTAATTTGACATTTTTGGAAGTATTTGTGTTCTCTTGCTGAGAGTTACATGTTTTGAACAATAGTCTGTATAAAACATGGACGTAGTCTCAGTGACATCTCCAATTGGTTTCCGAAGAAAGCAAAGCCAAACGATCGCGGTCACAATATTGGAACTGATGACTAATCTTGGCCCAATTTTTAGAAACAAACAAAGGGCCTTTCTCAAACTGCTCCCTCACACTCCACTCTGCAACATAGAGTGAACTCAGCCCACAGGGGGATGAATTCAGCAGCAAGCTTTGGGACAAACTCCCCTCACTCTCAAAGGAAAGGGAACTTTAACGCTAGGCAGACTCAATAAAATCACTCCACAATATGATAAAAAAAACACACCTAAATATTTGGTGAATGGTAAATGGATTTGAGCTCGTAAAACGTTTTTGCTTTGTGTCAGACCTACCTGTTCGCACCCTGATGGCGGAGTTTGCTATGCAAAGTGACCACCAGAAGTAGCAGCGGGAGCATTTAGGGGTTAAGTGTCTTGCCAAGGACGCGTCGGACATGTTGCTGCAGGATCGAACCCTCGACCTTCCGATTGCAGCGGCTTCTGACGACCGACTCTGCCAACTGAGCCACAGCCGCTGCTTGGTGCCATTTCTTTTTTTCAACATCTTATTGATTGAATCTGAAGTTTATAAGATGACGAGTTATTGTCTGTATCTTTTAACATAAAAACACTTCACCGTAAAATAAACACATCATATTCAAGAAGAAAGTTATTCATTACATTTTGATTATAATGTTAACGTTTTTTAATCTTATATCTGTAAGATACTACTCTTATAATTTCATTCAAATGTGTTGAAGTTTGTGTGGTTGATAACACAGAACTTTGATGTAAGGATCGTCTTCCATGACAAACAATGAAAGGTGCTTCACCTGCATCGGTGCAGACTCGCTGTTGGAGGGTTTAACAACTCACTCTCTATACATATAGTATACAAAACTAAACTCTGAGGTTTGTTTTTGTTTTATTCTGGTTTTCAAGCATTGCTTATAACTCACTGCTCCTGCTCTGCTTCTTCTCCTGTGGGTAAACTCTCTCACAGAGGACACAGCCTGCTTTCACTTTTTGTTTTGTCAGTCATTCAAGATTCAAGATTCAGTTTATAGTCATGTCCATTATATACTGTCAGCATACATGGGAGCGAGATGTCATTCTCCCCAATTCATTTAAGAACAGACTCATTGAAAAAGAAAGAACAAGACGCATACCACTGATTGGGAGAAGCCGCTGCAACCGGGTGAGGTTAAAGGACCTCAACAAACTGCAGAGAGAGAGAGAGAGAGATGACTCTTCCATCTGAACGACCAGCTTATCCTGTGGATATTGGACTTTCTGACCAACAGATCACAGAGAGTTCTGGTCAACAACACCTTCTCCAGCCTCCAACACACCTCAACTGGCTCCCCCTCAGGGCTGCGTGCTCTCACCTCTGCTCTTCATCCTCTACACCGATGACTGCAGAACCACACAGCCAAACTGTCACCTGGTGAAGTACGCGGACGACACAGTTCTCCTGTCTCTGCTGTCAGGCCCCTCTCAGCACCATGGACCAGTTCTTCAGGAGTTTGTGGAGTGGTGTGACAGCTCCTGCCTCGAACTGAACGTGAGCAAGACCAAAGACACGGTGGTGACCTTCTCCAACAAGCAGAGGGAACTGGCTGCAGCTGCAATCACCACAATCCATGGGAATCCTGTCGAACTAGGAGAGGAGTATAAGTACCTGGGTACCATCTTCGACAGCCTGCTGAAATTCTCCTCCAACACCGAGGAGATTCTCAGGAAATGTCAGCAGCGAAAACACCTCCTAAGGAAGCTCAAATCCTTTGGAGTCAGTAAGAACATTCTTCTGACCTTCTACTACTCCTTCATTGAGAGCATTATTACATTTTCTATAACCTGCTGGTTCCACTCCACCACCCTCCAGAACAGAAACCGCCTGCAGAGCACGGTCACAGTCTGCTCTAAGATCATTGGACTACCTGTAAGGGCTCTGATATCGATCTATGGGCAACAGACAATCAAGCTAGCAGGTCGGATTATGCAGGACCCCTCACACGCTCTCTTCCCAGCGTTTGAGTGGCTCCCCTCAGGACGCCGATTTCGCAGGACACAGAGGAGAAGAGCAACCTTTGTTCCCAGGGCTGTCCAGCTCCTCAACTCCAGGGCAACAACATAGACATAGAATCATTTGGAGAAGAACTAATCAAGATGTATTTACGCACTTGCTTCCATAATGCAGGTTAGCTGCCATTTTGCATCATGTACTGTCACATTCAGATATGTGGTAAAAAAGAAAGACCTGCAGGGTCAGAGGATGAGTTTGAGAAGGCAGCAGACTAGATGTTGCTGGAGGTAAAGGTTGGTCCAGTCTGAATTGTAAGACAGCTGCAGGCCGAGGCTGGAGCCGGTTATGGTATGGTATGGAGATTTAAGGAGAACAGGACAAGACAATGAGTGACAACTGTACTTTTACTGTCTCAAAACACATTTTTCATCATAACAGAAAATAATAAAGGACTCAAAATTCTACCTTAATTTTTTTTTTGATCTATAAAACTTTCTGATAAACTCCTTCCAGTCCTTCATTTAATTAATTTCTCATAAAACGGAATAAACTACCTATACATTGTTCCTTGAATCCCTCTTAATCATTCCTTCTTACACATCATGTCATCAGAGGAGTTATTATGTGACTTACTGTGGCCACTAGGTGGCAGAAGGGGATCTTGAGGACTCGAAGCCAACTGTCTTTGGGCACAGTTTTAGAAACTGTGCACATAATTTAAAATAGATAATGGTAAATGGACTTGAGCTTGAATAGAGATTTTCAAATGTTCTGAGAGGAAACTAGAGAAACGTTTGGATGAAATCAAGAAATAAGCCATCCAAGGCAATAGGCCTCCATGATTCCTGAATATTTTAGATGAATATAAACACACTCTAAACCTTTAAATCTAATAATGGGAAACATGAAGTCTTGATATTTTCATTTAAAGTGGAATATTTTACATGTTTTTAATTATACCCTATACATATTTGTATTAGGTTACATACTGCATCTTTTTTTTAAACCATCTTAGACTAAACCCTAGTGATATAAACCATACTTTCAAAGAGGTTGGCTGAAGTGTGACTCAGCACATGTGAAGAACACAGTTACTGTAACTGGTTAGACTGAAGCACTTATCTACAATCTGTTCATCATATTTACACAGTTCTATGAATTGATATGAATAATGTTTAATTTTAGGATATGGATGAAATTTGTAACGATTTGAAACTTTTCCATGTCAGCTTCCTATGAGAGTTAAAATAATAATTTATCAAACACTGTAGTGACTATCTGAAGTCCCAGTGTTCTAATCAAACTTTTTGAGTCACTTGTACAGGTGTATGGAAAGTTCTTGATGCGCGCCAAAAATAAAATAAAATGTCTAAAATGAAATGACTTTGGCTGATTTTCCCATTTATTGCAAAAGATGAAGCAGACAAACCGTGATGATGATATGAAGTAATGATTGATTCTTGCCGCCTCCGGTATTTATGTCCGTTTACAGTAACAGTACGTTCCCTCCACCCAATCGACTTTCTGTTCCTCCTGTGACCTTTAAACACTCAACCATACAACATGACAAATTAACTTACATTATTAATTCTGCATTTTCTCTAAAATGTTGACATGTAGTTTTTTTTTTAAATGCAGAGTCACAAAACAGAGAAGTGCGGGGACAGAAGAAACAGGGTGCCAAGTTATTTCCTTGAAAGTCATGCGTGTGCATGTAAGGAAAGTGGTAAATAGTCACAAGTCACAAGTGTTTCTTGGAAAACTAAAGATGGAAGAAAGATGCCTCTTCCTCATAATGACTCCATCTCGTCTCCATCGAATGACGATAGCACAAAGCTGACGATCAATACAGGTATACATTAAAAACAAAAACAACTAAAGCCTTGTTCAGATTTATATGAGTGCTTTAAAGAACCTGGCCAAGTGTAAAAGGAGTGAGTTATCTGTGTCCACTGGAGAAATGCTGGTAATTAAGTTAGCATTACAATGGATTGAAGACTCTTAAGAGCAATAAAAGGTTCTGACTCCAGTTTCCAGATGCTGAAAAATGAATAACAATAATAATGTTATTCATATAGCACCTTTAAAAACACAGGTCTACAAAGTATAAAAGTAACATTAAGCAAAGAAACATCAAAAACAAAAGAACCAAAGCCACACCAAAAGACAAAGACAATACAATAACCGCACAACAAAATATTCAACGAACATAATTCAAAGAACTTCATAAAAAACCATCGTAAGAACCCAGACAACACAAGAACCCAACAGCATGAAATGAGACCGCAGGAGGACCAGATGATGTAAGCAACTAAAAAGAGTAGGAACCATTAGAGGGGATAACAACATAAAAACACGATAACATCAATAAATATGTAGGCAGAAAGAATAAAAACAGATAAAGGCAGGAAAATAAAGCAATACTACAGAAGAGCAATTCAATCGATTAATTAAAGAGAAAATTAAGTAGGCTTTAATAGTAAAATCCAGTAGTTAGAAAAAATAAAATAACAAGTGACAAGTAGAAGTTATTGATTAGGGATGAGAAGATCCACGCCTTTGTCTCTTCCAGGTTAGACGACTGTAATACACATCTTGTCATCTGTAGCCTAAAGAAGGGTCAATACATCCAGAACAGTGCTGAAAGGATCCCGTTGAAAGTGCAGAAATATCACACCCATCTTGCATTTATAACACTGGCTTCTTGTCCCTGACTGCCCCTCCCCACCTCAAAGAACCTCCAACACCACAAATTGACACAAGAAACTTCAACTGAGCTCATGTTTTCAATCTTCTTGCTCTCAGTTGTAGTCACCTTAAAATGGCTTTGTGATTGTTGTTTCAATGCACCTGTTTTAACTCTATAGCACTTTGAGATTTCCTTCAAGTGTAAAGTGCTTTTGAAATAAAACACTATATTGTTATTTAGTGCATTTACAGCCTGTTCATACTCCTTACCTGTTGATGGCGGTGTTGCACTAAAACGTTGTTGGCCACCTGCCATTGAACCTTAAGAAGAAGAAAAAGTCCAGGGGGGCCCAGGGGAGACAAAACATAAGAAGGAAAAGTAAGAGAAGAAGTTGTTATTGTGCCTTCTAATCAAGGTTTGTCATCATTCGTTATTTTATTTGTCATGTATAACCTTTTCAAACACATAGTATAACCTGACGTCACGCGTCACGTCATGCTGATGTGACCTGTTGGTTAGCTTCCTTTAGCAACCTGTTGCTCGCCAACTTGCTAACTAACCTTACCGAGCTAAGCTAAGTGGTGATGTCCTCTGCATGTCAACAAAGATACTCTTTACTGTGCTGTTATATGTTTGTGTTTGCATGTGGCTAAACTTACTGAATGTTAATTATCACTGCAGAGTAAATGTGGTGACGTGTAAAATAAATAAACATGAATATGAATAACATTTAAAATAAATAAATATGAATATGAATAACATTTAAAATAAATAAATATGAATAATAATATGAATAACATTTAAAATAAATAAACATGAATATGAATAACATTTAAAATAAATAAATATGAATATGAATAACATTTAAAATAAATAAACATGAATATGAATATGAATAACATTTAAAATAAATAAACATGAATATGAATAACATTTAAAATAAATAAACATGAATAATAATATGAATAACATTTAAAATAAATAAACATGAATATGAATAACATTTAAAATAAATAAATATGAATATGAATAACATTTAAAATAAATAAACATGAATATGAATATGAATAACATTTAAAATAAATAAACATGAATAACATTTAAAATAAATAAACATGAATATGAATAACATTTAAAATAAATAAATATGAATAACATTTAAAATAAATAAACATGAATAACATTTAAAATAAATAAATATGAATAACATTTAAAATAAATAAACATGAATAACATTTAAAATAAATAAACATGAATATGAATAACATTTAAAATAAATAAACATGAATAACATTTAAAATAAATAAACATGAATATGAATAACATTTAAAATAAATAAATATGAATAACATTTAAAATAAATAAACATGAATATGAATAACATTTAAAATAAATAAATATGAATATGAATATGAATAACATTTAAAATAAATAAACATGAATATGAATATGAATAACATTTAAAATAAATAAACATGAATAATAATCTGTGACGTTATTGTGATAATGTTTAAAATTACTAAACTTAAAAAAAAAAAAAATCTGTAAAGTTAGTGAGATAATGTGTAAAGTAAATGAGAAATCAGATGTAACTGAAGTCAAGCAATTAAGTTTAAATTTGACAATAAGAGAATATACTGGGATTAAAATGTGACTTAATGTTGATCTGAACCATAGACTGAACTAATAATTAGTATTATACATGATAATAATTGGATTATCACGACCACAGACAGGTATATGAGCAGAGTTACCTGTGCAGGTGAATCAGGACTCGTCTTAATGTCTCTCAGTCTATAGTGTTTATAAAATAGACAAACAGAGTGATGCTGTATAGTGCGACTTGTAGACATAACATTATAAATCATATGATTCCAGTTAGAAACTCTCTTTTCTTCCAGTGTATAAAGGTAACTTAACTTGTCTTCTTGTAGATGTCTCAGGACCCGGCCTTCATGGAGGCCATCAACAAACACATGAGGGTCCCCGAGCGGCTGAGCGTGGGCTCGGGGCAGCAGTGGAGGAGAGGGGAGGAGGAGGAGGAGACCACCAGGAGGGAGGAGCACGTTCCTCCTGCTTTTACCATGCAGGTCCCTGATAGGCTGACATACACAGGTAATAACCCTTTATTATAAACACTGTTCAAAGACAGAGACAAACATGTATGAGCCATGTTTTACAAAAAGAGACAGTGAGGAGGACACGGTGCTCTCCACACATTCCCTACTTGTTGTTATTAAAAGGGGCGGTGAATGTCACGTAGGACTTCAATGCGGGGGAAGTCCGCCCATTGCTGGTGAGTTTGACTCTGCCTGCAGAGTGCATCCTCCACTCTTCCTCTTGTTGCAGCAGAAAGAGCTGGAACATAATTTTCTTTCTACTTCATTTGGATTTGACAGCCCCTTGCACATCTCTTATGGATAATTGCATTACATAAGTCAAGAAGAAGACATTTTACCAAATCACTATTCACTCGTGCAAATCTTATGACTTTTGACTTGAACCGCCTCAGAATGTTTGTTGATACAATCACTTGGTTTAGAAAACATGTTGACATGAGCTGTGCTTAAGTCTTCTTTAACTTGTCACCTACAGAAGCCCCCGATATGAGCCCCACTCCTCTGTTTACCCCGTCCAAACTGACCCTCTGTGGACCCCAGAGTCTGGACCCCTGTTGGGAGAGTCCGTCAGGAGAGGTCTTCATCAGAGAGCAACAGCAGGTAGGTGGACATGTGACCACTGTGTTGTATTTAATTTAGGGCCGGTTAAGTGTATTTTTTAATGGTGACTTTTGCTGAATTTGAAAGTTAATTGTGATTAATCACAGCGTTTAAAAATTCCATTTGTTTTCATTTTGAAAGCAGTGTTTAAGTCCATACTATCAAAAGCAGTTGTTAGCTTTGGGAATAATATGTACTCTATGATCTTCTTTACTTACAGATTTATTATTTAAATAAGTGCTGCACCAGTGGGATCTGAAATCATGACTAAATCCTGACACAAACAAAAAGATTTTTAAGATCTTAAACAATGCTGATAGTTATATCAGCATGTGGAGCTTGAACCATCTTGTGAGGCTGGTTCTAGATTTAAATCATTAAATGTGATCTCTCACGTTTGGCTATATGAGGCATATAAAGACGGCTTTGAAAGGTAACCTCTTAAAGCCACCCTGCAGAGGTAGAGGTTTAATTCCTTGAGGTGAAGCCGACTTTACCTGACAAGCAACATGTGGGCCTTCATCAATAGCAGTTCTTTAAGCATCCCTGATTAGACTATTGTGGACAATGTCCAAATGCTAATTTCCTAGGGCTGTCACTGACTAACATCATGTTTTACAGCCAGCCTTGCAAAGTTACCACAGAAACCCTCCATAATCAGAATCTGTTTTTATTTCCAAGAACATTTACACATACAAGGAATTTAATTTGGTGTTTTGTTGCAAAACAATTAGCCATGAAATAAAGCAAAAATAGTAAGATGTTGGGGCGCGCTGGTGGCGCAATGTTTAGGGCGCGCGTCCCATGTATTGAGACTCTCGTCTCGAGCAGTAGGCCCGGGCTCGCTTCCACCCGTGGCCCCTTTCCGCATGTCATTCCCCGCTCTCTCTCCCTGGTTTCCGACTCTATCCACTGTCCTATCTCTGCATTAAAGGCACGAAAAGCCCAAAATAAATCTTTAAAAAAATAAATAGTAAGATGCTATAAAACAGCAGTGATCCTGCTGACAGGGAACTTACATACAAGATAAAAATATAAAAAGGTTAAATAAGCAGATTTTTTAATCCACCAGCCAGAGTTGAAGATAGACATCCCGACCCTGATTGATGTATTTTTCCACTTTTACAACTGCTGACCTCACTATATTTTATTTATCTTCAGGCTTCATGGTAACCATAGACTTATGAGACTCACAGACTGTTTGCAGGAATGATTGGTGTATTTGTATGAAGAGTAAAAAACTCACTAAGCAGAAAATAGAGCAGTTGTTTGGGTTTATAACCGTTGTAAATTACTTTCTCTTCCTGTGTGACAGAGCCCCATTCGGAGATCTTACAGTGATCAAAGTTTTGGAAGGACACCCCCTGGCACACCGACAAAGCTCAAACAGACTCTGGCCAGACACCCATCCAGTCTGTGAGTACTGGCACCATCCTTCAAATTTCCTTCAAATTTATACTAGTCTTATATCACAGTACCAGTTTAAAACAGTATGTCAGAGATTTTATATATATATATATATGTATATATATATGTATATGTACTTTATTCATCTCAGAGGGGAAATTCAAGCATACACACACAGGCTCAAATTAAACACATTCACAAATAGAATCTATGGACATGCAGTAATGGAGAGTTGTCAGAGTTAGGGGGCTGCACCCAGGGGATGTCCCTGAACTGTCAAGGGTTTGGTGCCTTGCTCAAGGGCACCCCAGCAGTACTTGGGAAGTCAAAGCTGACCAGAAACGTGGTCAAACTATGATTAATATTGAACATCTGAAAAATGGAGAGAGGTTAGAATGCAGAAAGGTTTCAAGACTGACGCAGAGCTGCTAAACACTGAAGCTTCCGTCCGGGACAACCTGTGTGTGCATCGACAGTAACCATTTCAAACGCTACGTCGTGCAGGTAGACCTGCTGCAATGGTGATGCTTTTCTGTGTTGCAACCATAGGAGACATTTAGTCAAGCCATTTCAACACATAGTCCATCATTGTAAACACTGACACTCGCTCTGACGCGAGGAGGAGCTCTCTAGTCAGGGAGCGAGCAGGACCATCTGGCTGTGGTCATACAGTCAGAGCAGAACAAGCACAGGACCGGGATTTACGTTGTTTTCTGTCACAAATCACTCTTCAATCGTACGTTGCTTGTGTTTGACTGTGTGGTAGTTGAACAAATTCATCCGACACTGTACAAAACACCCTCATTCGGGGTGTGGAAGATGCTAATTTCCAACCCTGGTCAGCATCGATTATGTTCTGATCCTATAATGTTGCATAATCGTCAAAGTCTGCATGGCGAACTTTAATACCCTTAGGCTTACTGTAGCTAGATTGAGTTTCATCTGTGTGCACAGTCTGGACTGAACTTTTGTTTGTGTTGTGATAACTTCTTACTTTTGCAATGTGTTTATTGAGAATGCTTATTTGTGATAACAATATAATTTTGACTTACTTCACAGCCCTAGTTTAATACCAGTCTCATATTTCAGTACCAGTTTATACCAGAATGATATCACGGTACCAGTTTATACCAGTATGATATCACGGTACCAGTTTATACCAGTCTCATATTTCAGTACCAGTTTATACCAGTCTCATATTACAGTACCAGTTTATACCAGTCTCATATTTCAGTACCAGTTTATACCAGTCTCATATTACAGTACCAGTTTATACCAGTCTCATATTACAGTACCAGTTTATACCAGTCTCATATTTCAGTACCAGTTTATACCAGTCTCATATTCAGTACCAGTTTATACCAGTCTCATATTTAAGTACCAGTTTATAGTCTCATATTTCAGTACCAGTTTATACCAGAATATATCACGGTACCAGTTTATACCAGAATGATATCACTGTACCAGTTTAACCAGAATGATATCAGTACCAGTTTATACCAGAATGATATCACTGTACCAGTTTAAACCAGAATGATATCACGGTACCAGTTTACACCAGTGGTATTCTGACCACTGTCAGAATCTCAAACTTGTATTTTATAATTTCATTTTTTTTTCATTAAGATCATGTGTTTTTTTTGTTCCCATTAGTTTATCTTAGTTTGATAGCTACTCTCTCCCTCAGATGTGCTGCTTCCTGTGCAGCTTGTGTTGATTATAGCTTTTATCCAATCAGATTTTCGCCTCTGTGTTGTCCCCAGGTCGTAAAATCTTCCCTGCAGTTCAAGTTTATGATGACAATATTGTTGAGTGTCATATTCTTCAACCAATCAGAATTGAGTTTGACATATAGGGTGTATTCTTTGAGCCTTCTAGTTTGCCTTGCCAAAGGTGTCAGAATGTACTGCGGCGTCACTGGTCAGAGAGCAAGGCTAACTTTGGTGAATATAGCTAGCTGCGTATGGTTGGTGTTGGCGGGAAGTTCAAGTTAAAGGCAGGGTTGGTAAAACTAGCATGATTTTGAAAGTAGCATTCCCTCCGTGCCCTGTCTGCACCCACCCGCTTCCCTCTGTGCTCCCTCAAAAGCCCCACCCCTCAATTACATGCATAAGCACCACTGGTTGCAACAACGGACCTCAGCTCATTCTTTGAGTGTGGGCTCGTGCATGCATGGGGTAGAGAACAAGCAGGGAGACAGCACACCTTTGGCTCCAAATATAAGCACAAGACTGGGGGGTATGCTGGCCTCCAGAACGTAGAGTAAGAGCAAATGTGTTTGCATCGTCCACTAGTATACAGTCTGTGGTATGTACCATTAGCACTCTATAATATATTTATTTATTGCAGCAGGTGAGATGAGAGAGTCTATTAAGTTTATGTAATGAGCTCAAGTTAAGCTTTTTAACATTGTTCCAATGTGACATTCCAGTGCCAGTGAGTAGAGTATTGACTCAGACAAGCTCCTGCAGTCTCTGTAATACTTCAACATACAGCATTATATCAACAGCTTATTTTTTTATGGCATCATAATATTAACAGAGCCTTGACTGAACTTGCTTTGTTGTTTTTTTTGGTGAACAGTGAACTGAATGAGTCGAATCATAACTCATGAAGGAGAATGTGAGTTCAGAGTTACTGAGAGTAACGGAGCGCTGTGGCACCTAGCATGCATCTGACAGCGCTCTTGTATGCAAGTGAATGATGACTTCAACAAAGGATTGGTGTGTAGGAGGCTCTACTGGAAAAGAGCAGATTAAAAAAACAAAAAAAAAATGATCATGTTCAAACGAGCTATTATGAACATGAAATAGCTCTTGCACAATACTTCATTATACAACATCCTTTCCTCTCTGCCCTGCTTCCTCCTCCACTTTTTCTTCTTCTGGGGCCAGATTCACAAACATTTCTTAAGTTAAAACTTAAAAAAGTTCTGAAGTTTTTAAGAATGTTCTTAACTGTAATTCCTGATGTTTCTTTTAACAATGTCATTTCTAACAAACTTTATTTTCTTACTTACGAACTTCTCAGATTCTATTGGGCAGGCGTCTATGCATATGCCTACTTATATTGGGTTCAGCATCATTGACTTAATGATCAAAATGTTGTTTGAATATTTTAAAATAAGCAGGTTTGTTAACATTACTGCTGTCTGTCGGTACCATATTTTAGATTTACTTAAAGATTTAACTTAGTTAGTTTTTTTGAGTAAAGGCAAATTAGATTAAAATTAACTGTCCAATTTGCGATCTTATTTTCAGGAGTACCAGAAACATGAGACCTAAACCAAAAACAAAATTGGCAAGCTAAAATTAACAATAAATGTTAGACACATTTAGTAAAACTGAAAATCCAAATCACTTTCAAGAATCTCATTTATTCTCAAGTTTGTTCTAAGGAACAAACATAAGAAGAAAGTTAAGAAAATAAATAAACACTTCATTCATGAATATCAAATCTTCTTAACTATGAAGTTAAGAAGAAATTAAGAAGGTTTTGTGAATATGGCCCCTGGTGTCCTTGTCTCCTTCCTCTGGTGTTGTTGTTTCCTCCTTTAATCCCGCTCTCCCTCTCTCCCTCTCTCCACCGTCCAACAGACGAGGTTCAGGACGTCCCCTCCTCCAGAGATCTTCTCCCTCTGCCCACACCAGTGACCCTCAGGCCCAGCACCCGCCCTCCAGTCCCTACAGCCTCTCATCTCCTCAGTCCTTTCTGCAGACAGCCAGGGCACTGGGCCTGCAGGCCTCACAGCGCCTCCTGCAGGCAGTCACCCAGAAATACAGGTCTGAGCCATGTTTTCTCCAGCCGCTCAATGCATCCGAAAGATTCACCTCTGTAATATTTACTAATCAAAATGTACATGTTTCGTTATCTTTGAAGTACTAACAATATAAAAGTCTTATTTCAGTCTTTTTGAACTTCAGAATTACCCAACTGTTTGATGGGAAATGTAGTTCTTTATTGGAATATCACTTAAACGTGCACTGTGGAATTTTGGTAAAGAAATGTGAACGTTTGAGAAGTGTACAGATTACGTGATATATGTTCATAATTATACACACAAACTGTCCTCAGAGGAACATTTTGTCCCAGTAACACAGTTTGAAGATAAAATTCCAGGCGAGACATTATGGTGGGGTTTTAAGCTTTTAAGCTCCAAACAGTGTTCAGGAGCCATTTTCTTCTTTGAATAAAGTTTGTGTTCTAAGTTCAGAAAATAAAGCATAGAATCGTTTCAATCCTCCAACTTTCAAATTTCACTACCAAATCTACATAGTGCACCTTTAACAGCAAACTACTCTAAAATTCAAATACTGATTAAGTTTACTGGTTTTCTTAGAAACACAGTGAATAATAAGTGATATAACGGTTTCTCTGTTTTGTTAGTAGCTTGTTCTCCTGCTCTGCTTCTGACTCTAATCTTTTTTTTAATGCAACTCGTTATTGCTTGGATATCTGATAATAACTTAGTCTTCTGCAGTTACTGGACTTATACAAGCTGGTGATTCAGCTGCTGTTGTTGCGTTGTTGGATGTGTGTGAATGAAAGTAAGTTTAAATGAACTAATTCTTTGTGTCTTTGAGTCTTATTTGATCTAAAATGTTCTCCAGCACTCATATTGGCTGTTCATCATGCCTGTGTCTCAGTATCTGCTTTGCTCTCGACCTGCATCTTTTATCTGCTCTAGTTGCGTACCTGTGTATGTTGACGTGGGCCTGTGAGGCAGCAGACTTCAGTTTGTCTTTTTCTTATCGGAGCAAAGGTTGAAAAGCGAAGGGAAGCCCCCAGCTGCCAGGTTCATGGCCGAGGTTCCTGCTGCAGCACAGGTGGAGCTCAGCAAGAGAAGGTGACGGAACACAAACTGCCTTTTTTTTTTTTTTTAACTACACAACATCTCTGCATTGTACGCGCTCAAACTGTGGAGCATATGTGCGATTATTTAATTCTGTTTTTGAATTAAGAACAGTGTAAGCATGAGAGGAAATGATCATCTGGATGTGTTGAAATAAGTGTTTGAATCTCAGGCTCTTGTTAAGCTTGTTGGATGTCTGTTTTTAAATGAATGTAAGTCCTGTGTCTGATTAGTGCAGTAAAGACTGTAACAAGGGTCTAAATAATATGGTGTAATGTTGTTCAGCTGAACTTCAATTGAAGATGACATCTGCATGTCCACAGTGACAGAAGGAAACGCAGAACAAACACTGAACTCAAAATCCAACACAGCAGACACCGAACACAACTTCAATCAATCAATCCTGATTTGTGAAGCGTCAATTTATAACAAGTGTCATCTCGAGACGCTTTACAAAATAGCATATGGGATGATATGCAGGAACGATTTCTATTCCTCACGTTCCTGTTGTCCACACTTCCTTGCCCCTAAGGTGGAGGTCGGAGCAGGCCGCGCATGAATGAGGCGGCGATGGTTGTGGGGACAACACAGTCCGATGTTAGCGGCTGGGAATCAGGCGGCGGTTGAGGGACGATACGGTCCAATGGTGTGGGCTGGGTGTCGGGTGTAGAGGTGGAGTCTGGGCGTCGGGCGGTGGTTGAGGGACGACCACAGCAGCAGGCAGTCCTCACCAACAATCCTTAGGAATCTACAAGCTGAGAGCTCAAAGTATGTGGTCAGTAACTATGATCTAAAGATAGCGACATGCAGTAATATGATGTGGATGCACAGAGAGAGATAAGAGCTCAAGGTGCCAGCTCCCCCGGTAATGTAAGCCTATAGCAGCATAGCGAGGAGCTGGTCCATACCTGTGCCAGTCCTAGCTATAAGATTTATCAAAAAGGAACATTTTATTCTATTCTATAGACACAGTCTAATCTTAAAAGTATAGAGTGTGTCTGCCTCTCAGACCCCAGCTGATATGATGATTCCAGAGGAGAGGAGTCTGATAACTGAAGGCTTTACCTCCCATAGTACATTTAGAGACTGTAGGTACCACGAGCAGGCCCGCATTCTGGGACCGTAATGTTCTGGAAGTGGAATACGGCACTATTAGCTCTTGACGATAAGATGGTGCCGGACCATTTAGAGCTTTGTAAGTGAGAAGAAGGATTTTAAATTCTATTCTAGACTGTATAGGGAGCCAGTGCAGAGAAGCCAACACAGGAGTAATGTGGTCCCTTTTCCCAGTTCTAGTCAGTACACGAGCTGCAGCGTTCTGGACTAGTTGAAGAGTCTTGAGAGACTTATCAGAGCACCCTGATAAAAAAGAATTACAATAATCCAATCTGGAGGTAACGAATGCATGAACTAGTTTTTCTGCATCATTTTGCGACAGGATATTCCTGATTATAACTTCAAACACAGCAGACACTGAACACAACATTTAACACAGCAGACCCTGAACACAACATCCAACAGAGCAGACACTGAACACAACATTTAACACAGCAGACACTGAACACAACATCCAACAGAGCAGACACTGAACACAACATCCAACACAGCAGACACTGAACACAACATCCAACACAGCAGACACTGAACACAACATCCAACAGAGCAGACACTGAACACAACATCCAACAGAGCAGACACTGAACACAACATCCAACACAGCAGACACTGAACACAACATCCAACACAGCAGACACTGAACACAACATCCAACACAGCAGACACTGAACACAACATCCAACACAGCAGACACTGAACACAACATTTAACACAGCAGACACTGAACACAACATCCAACAGAGCAGACACTGAACACAACATTTAACACAGCAGACACTGAACACAACATCCAACACAGCAGACACTGAACACAACATCCAACAGAGCAGACACTGAACACAACATTTAACACAGCAGACACTGAACACAACATCCAACACAGCAGACACTGAACACAACATCCAACACAGCAGACACTGAACACAACATTTAACACAGCAGACACTGAACACAACATCCAACACAGCAGACACTGAACACAACATCCAACACAGCAGACACTGAACACAACATCCAACACAGCAGACACTGAACACAACATTTAACACAGCAGACACTGAACACAACATTTAACACAGCAGACACTGAACACAACATCCAACACAGCAGACACTGAACACAACATTTAACACAGCAGACACTGAACACAACATTTAACACAGCAGACACTGAACACAACATCCAACACAGCAGACACTGAACACAATATTTAACACAGCAGACACTGAACACAACATTTAACACAGCAGACACTGAACACAACATCCAACACAGCAGACACTGAACACAACATTTAACACAGCAGACACTGAACACAACATCCAACACAGCAGACACTGAACACAACATCCAACACAGCAGACACTGAACACAACATTTAACACAGCAGACACTGAACACAACATTTAACACAGCAGACACTGAACACAACATCCAACACAGCAGACACTGAACACAACATTTAACACAGCAGACACTGAACACAATATTTAACACAGCAGACACTGAACACAACATTTAACACAGCAGACACTGAACACAACATTTAACACAGCAGACACTGAACACAACATCCAACACAGCAGACACTGAACACAACATTTAACACAGCAGACACTGAACACAACATTAACACAGCAGACACTGAACACAACATCCAACACAGCAGACACTGAACACAATATTTAACACAGCAGACACTGAACACAACATCCAACAGAGCAGACACTGAACACAACATCCAACACAGCAGACACTGAACACAACATCCAACAGAGCAGACACTGAACACAACATCCAACACAGCAGACACTGAACACAACATCCAACAGAGCAGACACTGAACACAACATTTAACACAGCAGACACTGAACACAACATCCAACAGAGCAGACACTGAACACAACATCCAACACAGCAGACACTGAACACAACATCCAACAGAGCAGACACTGAACACAACATTTAACACAGCAGACACTGAACACAACATCCAACAGAGCAGACACTGAACACAACATCCAACACAGCAGACACTGAACACAATATTTAACACAGCAGACACTGAACACAACATCCAACAGAGCAGACACTGAACACAACATCCAACACAGCAGACACTGAACACAACATCAACACAGCAGACACTGAACACAACATTTAACACAGCAGACACTGAACACAACATTTAACACAGCAGACACTGAACACAATATTTAACACAGCAGACACTGAACACAACATTTAACACAGCAGACACTGAACACAGCAGACACTGAACACAACATTTAACACAGCAGACACTGAACACAACATTTAACACAGCAGACACTGAACACAACATCCAACACAGCAGACACTGAACACAACATTTAACACAGCAGACACTGAACACAACATTTAACACAGCAGACACTGAACACAACATCCAACACAGCAGACACTGAACACAACAGCCAACAGAGCAGACACTGAACACAACATCCAACACAGCAGACACTGAACACAACATCCAACACAGCAGACACTGAACACAACATCCAACAGAGCAGACACTGAACACAACATTTAACACAGCAGACACTGAACACAACATCCAACACAGCAGACACTGAACACAACATCCAACACAGCAGACACTGAACACAACATCCAACAGAGCAGACACTGAACACAACATTTAACACAGCAGACACTGAACACAACATCCAACACAGCAGACACTGAACACAACATCCAACAGAGCAGACACTGAACACAACATCCAACACAGCAGACACTGAACACAACATCCAACACAGCAGACACTGAACACAACATCCAACACAGCAGACACTGAACACAACATCCAACAGAGCAGACACTGAACACAACATCCAACACAGCAGACACTGAACACAACATCCAACACAGCAGACACTGAACACAACATTTAACACAGCAGACACTGAACACAACATCCAACACAGCAGACACTGAACACAACATCCAACAGAGCAGACACTGAACACAACATTTAACACAGCAGACACTGAACACAACATCCAACACAGCAGACACTGAACACAACATCCAACACAGCAGACACTGAACACAACATCCAACACAGCAGACACTGAACACTAATAAAAGGTGAACAGGGGGGTATGAGTAAGCGTGTTCAACAAAAGCAAACGGAATTTCCCTTCGAGGATTAATAAAGTAACCTGGATTTGTCTTTTGGACTTAAAATACCAGCTGTTAACTTGTCTTTAAAAGCGCACTATGCAGTTTCAGGGAACAGCAAAAATACAGATGAGGCAGAACAAGTTCAGGAGAATACATGCGTCTGGGTGACACATGTCTGGGGCCACTCTGTAACGAGGGGGGAGGACGTGAACTACGGGAGCCCAAGGGGAAGTGCAGAGTAAGTTCAAGAGAAAATCAAAATTTTTCTCAACCCTGATTCGTTGATCAAATTCATATATTGCCCAGCCCTACTCAAAAAAAAAAATCATGTTCACTCTCCCCGTCTCTCTGTGCGACTGATATTTCATTGGCTTCTTCTCTCACGTCGGTGACTCCGGATGTCTGTTTTTTTTATTTTACCTTTTTTCTTTTTTTCTTCCTAATGCGAGCTCGGCAGTAAATATTCGCCCTGCAGAAGATAAACAGGGGGCGAGTGCAGGTCTGCAGGGGGAAAGAACAAAGACATGCACAGTTGAAGAGACGTAGGAAGAATTCTTGCGCACTAAGAAAAGCCTTAGCCCACCCAGGAAGACATGATGGGATAAAGTCTGTACATGGATATACTGTATATCAACAACCCTAAATAAAAGTCACTCAGCTGTCAGTCTGACTCATGTAGCTGTAAGTTTTCTGTTAGTTTATGTTATTCTCTGTGTGCAGGGTGATGATGGAGAGCTGGAGCCCCGAGGAGGATGGAGGAGCTGCAGTTGAGTTCATCATCCTCAGGAGACAGGTGGGACACTCGTCTGTGTTCATATATTCCCTTTTTAGATGTTATCATCACTGTGGAGGAGGTCCTGTTGTCTGTGGGTGAGCAGGGAGAACACCACAATCAGTCTCGTGCATTCAGGATGAATAAAGTTGTTGTGTTTAAGAGTTAAACTCCGACGTGTCAGCTAGCAAAGAGTGGCTTGATTATCAGAGATTTGTTAGATTCCCTCCACACCACTCCTACAAGACATTCCTCGGGAAACATTGCTTTTAGTAGATATTTTCTTATATTTAAATTCTCTCTCTGTCAGGTGATGAAGATGAGCCGTCGGCTGGCGTCTCTGGAGCGTCACAGCACGGAGCGGAGGAACACTGAGGTGGTTTTGTTCTCTCTGCTGCTGTCAGCCTGCATGCTGAACGTGTGGCTGTGGATCCGCAGATAGCACACACTGAACAACACACACACACACACACAGCGAATGTCACAAACACACCTTAAACACTCTGTGTGACACAAAGACACAAACACTACAGAACGATTGATGTAGAAACAGGAAATAGTCCAGAATGCACTGCAGCTGCTGTCCACCCCACAGGTGAATATTTGAGTGACTGCATGTTGATGGTTAAGGTCACCTGTCAGCTACATGATGATGCTCTGTGACACGTGCAGGTGTTTCAACCTGAATACTACAGCGGGATGATGATGTGATGCAGTGTAATGATCTGTGTTAGGAATGTTTGTCATTTTAATCTTAGAAACTAAAGATCTATCACATGAAACTATGAGCACCAGTGAATACAAACCTAACACTGTTTGAAGTCTGATTGTTACATTTGTTATTTTAGACTTTTCTTGAAGCTGTGCCGATATTCTCTGAAGCAGCATTTATGTAAATGTCTCTATTAATGTCTTTATATTTAATAAAGTAGAGTTTATATTTGAAAGTGTTGTGATTTCTTAACATGTCAATATCAGAGTTAAACAGAGAATAATGATTTAAAAAAAAAAAAGATGTGATGGTTAACTGAACATTACAATTTAAAACAGGAGTGAACTGTGTGTGTGTGTGTGTGAAAACTACAAACAGGCTCAAAGTCTAAACTTAAATTTATTGAACAAAAGAAGAAAATGAAAACTAACAAATGTTTATGAAACATTCAGATACAGTTTTTTGGGGGGGTTTGTCAGAAACATAAAATGAAAAATAACTTCATACCAGAATATAAGAAACTGCATGAGATGAATGTTAGAAGTACAGATTATTTATCAGAAAGTGGTGATTGTACAGCAATGACAAAAATGATAGCGTAACTTTTACAGCTGGCGAACATTTAATGTGCTCCAATCTTGTTTTCAGCGTCAGCTTCAATTGGAGGAATCAGAAACAGTTTAAAATTGTGCATTTCTCTGTCAGGCAAGGTCACATTACCAGGGGAACTGTTCGTACATTCAGTAAGTGCAGTGAATGAGCACGGATGATTAGCTCCACATACTAACAGACAACATTTTGGTGACAAAGCCTGGTAAAGACAAAAGAAGAGCCAACATTTCTCCAGAAGGCACCAACACTGATTTAAAAAAAAAAACAAAAAAAAAACACACGACCTGTTAAAACCAGACAGACCATATTTCTCTCTCAGAGATAATCTGATCGTGAAAGTCCACACCTAAAAGTTCATACTGTCTCACAGTTGGTAAATGGATCATCCTCCAGCCTTTTTTTGTCCACCATCACAAGGGGCTCTTTATGTGTCACATTCACCCTTTCACACATCCACACACTGAAAGCAGAGGCAGTTCATTAGGAACTGATCTGAAAAGTGTGTTTAAAGGAAGTAAAATCCTTAAAAGTTGCTTTTTAAACCAGGGGGAGTAGTTGATATGGCACCGGGCTCACGAAACCTGCTCAGGACTTTGGTGAAAGAATGGATTTTTGTGGTGCTTACACACCTGCACAAAACTCATTAAAACTTCCAGAAAATGTCTGTGTGAGCTGCATGTGAACACATACAGCAGAATATTTCACTCCCACTTGACGTGGAATTTTTCCGCTTGAAGTTGGGGTGAGCTGATGTGAGAAGGCAGCAGGAAATATTCATGAACTTCTACTGTGACCATATACCATTTCTTAAACCTCCCCATCAGAGACATGTACATGTAATCAAAAATGAGCACTGAGGGGTTAAAGACTTAACCCCATCTTACTTCATATTTATCAACCGTCGCTCACATACTGTAGTTACACACACTCCTTTTATTTTCTAGTCAAATTATTAAATAAAATTAAAGATTTTAAACTTGTTTGCACGATTTTTTTACAAAGATGTGGGCTTATTTCCCCACACTCGATAGTCCTGTGCCATGTTCAACTACCTTCGTTTGCAAAGCATTGTGGGACTTTTCTCCTTCAAGTCTTGTTTTTAGGGTTCGATGAACAATTCCCCTTAATCCCCAATGAAATAACATAGTGCCAAATGGAGGGGTGGGGTTTAGTGAGGGGGGTTGAAATCAAATAGACGACTAGAATATGTTTTACAGTTCCAGCATCAAGGTAACTTAATATGAGCTGGTGATGGTAAAAAAAAAAAAAAAAGAAACAAAATCAACACTGTTATTCATGAACACTGGAATTGTGCTTTTTTTTACTCTCTGTTTGGTTAGAACAAATAACGTGTTAGAACCAGGAGAATAAATGTAATTGTGACAATAATTTACCAGTATTGGACTGAAATGTGACGGCAGCTATGGACACATTTCAGTCAAAATTAGAGTGCTGCTTATTCAGTGCCAGGAAGCAAACTAGACTTTTAAATGATTACACACACAGAAATGTATCACCAGTCAGACTCCTCATTCCTCCCATATAGTTGCTACAAATCAGTGCATTCCTACTTAAGTCCTTCAGGAAGATCTACAGCTGACTAAGTCATTGCTTCCAACCGTCAGTGCAGAAAAAGTAATTGCTGATTGAGTCTTTGCTTCTGAGGAAACAGTCACTGTCAGTACCGGTATTACACACAAAGTAAGCTGACTACTTTTAGCGTCTTTGGTCCAAAATATTTGGTTTTCAGTGAACATTCAAACTTTAGATTTGAAATATATCATTTACCCACATAAGCCCAATACATTTGATTTTTCACAGGCTCGGCTATTCTTGAGTAGGAGTGTTTCTGTGTTGAAGCTCCAGCTTTTAACCAGTTGAAGCAGCAACACCACCTTAACAAAACTCATAGCTTGGTTATGTACATTCTATTAAGCTTTACAGTTTGATTCCTTGAAGAGTCTGATGTGCAACATCTTGATATAATTGAAGTGAGTCTGTTTAGTGTCTCAAAGTACTATCATGTTTTTCGACAGACAATTTGAAATATGGGGGGGGGGGAGGGGAAGTGGGATGACATGCATCAAACAGCGACAGGATCGGGAGTTGAACCTGTGACCAGTGTGATGAGGACTGTAGCCTCATTACATGGGGGGCGCCTGCTCTACAAACTGAGCTAAACCTGGCAGCCCTGCATTAATGCAGTTAAGAATGATTTCACCTGATGTCAAGAAGACTGCATATATTCAATTTGTTCACACAAATGAGTACCAATCCATTCTGTAACCTTTGGTCAAAACATGCTGCCTCATTAATGCAATGGAAAACGTCCACAGTCTTCAACACTCCACTGTGCATAGTGTAAAGTCATGCTAACCTGTATCAGCCTGCTTAAATGTAATTAAACCTCAGAGCGTGTTTAGAGCAGACTTGGTGGCTTGTTGCATTAGTGTCGTTACATCGAGAACATAAAGGTTAAATAGTGAAAATACTGTGCACATGCCACCATGCCATTCATGCTCAATGACCGACTAAAAGCTGTAACTGATAGGAAATAAAATGTGTTACAGAGCAGATGGGCCTTCAGAGGAGGCAGAATAAAGAGAAGCTTCAAGGTCCCCTTGCTTTTACATTTAAACTTATTTCTTTCTGTGCTGCAGCTGCTTTTTAAAAGTTTGTAGCTTCGTGCATGAGACATTCCACACAGGCTCCTTCGTCAGTTGCAGTCCATAGTTCATTCTGGTATTCATGCATATGTTTAGCGGCACAGTAATATTTTCTTTCTAATGAGGGTGACAGATTGATGGGTGACGTCAAAACTATATAAATAAAGTTTTGATTGATGTCAGCGGCTCTCAAAAGACTTTCCCGTTCTGTAGCCAGAGGCCACAAAAGTACTGAAAACGAATGTGTTGGTGGTTTCAGAACCAACCAGGGCTGCTGAGGTTAACCATGGAGCAGAAGAACTACAAAAAACAAAACATCCAAACGCTTCAAAAGTTATGGAAATGTAACCCACAGAGTTACACAGGCCTTTACAGCACATACACAATGTAAACACATTATTTACACAGTTAGTGCCATGTCTGACTACATTTAAAAATACACATAAATACAATATTGAATACAAAGTAACATAGCACATAATAGACACATGGCAGGACTAGTGCAATAAATGCAACAGAAAGATAGCGGATATGTTTGGTCCGATGAAGCCGGGCAGCTTTCAGAAACACTGATGATCGACACAGTACGCCATACAAAGGACAGTTTAAAGTCATCATCACCATCTGTTTGTATGTTAAAAAAACAAAAACAAATGCTACATACTCAGCTATGCAAACATTTCTGAATATGCTGAAATGGCGCTGCAGTTAATGATGTGGTCAATATCAGTCGCAAACACAGTAACAATGATTGTTCAGGTCAAAGAGTAGTGCAGTGACTCCTGAGAGTCATACAACAGAAGCTGAGAGAGAAATCCTTCACCTTAATACAGATTAATGTGTGTTTGTGTGTGTGTGTGTGTGTGTGTGTATGTGTGTGTGTGTGTGTGTGTGTGTGTGTGTGTGTGTGTGTGTGTGTGTGTGTGTGTGTGTGTGTGTGTGTGTGTGTGTGTGTGTTGGGGGGGGGGTTATGTGTGCGTAATCTCTGTGTTGATTTACAAAAGGGAGGTTTTGGTTTCAGCTCTGCATGCTCAGTTTTTTTTTTTCCATCCCATTATCCCGTTTCCAGGGTTAACCTAAATCACGTTTAAGAAGGAAGCATCCATAAAAGTGGATCAGAAAAGTCAATGTGAGGCTTTGACCTTTTCATGTTTGTTTTTTTTAAGATTCCAGTCACAACTTCATAGAATCACTCATGTTAGAAAACCTGCCCGTCGAGATAAGCCAGGCAGCGGCGCCAGTATCCCACTTTCTGCTTGTCCGCTCTGATTTTTCAACAATGAAGAGTGAAGAAGCGGAAGTTTGTGAATGAAATGTAAACATTAGAAATGTCTGACTTGTTCACAGCTGCAGGTTTATATGTCTGTTTTTCTTTTTTTTTTTCTGATCGAGCTGCCGTCCAATCATTCATATAAGTGAAAGTTTTGCTGGGTGCCATGGTGTCAGATGAGGATCTCCACCATGTCATTGTCTACTTCCTGTTGTGTGGGAGGTGGGGCCTGCTGCTGGGGATGGGAGTGCACGGGGAGCCTCCTCTCCAGGGTGCTGCTGTGAAACACTGGAACATCTACGGACGAGTCAGAAAAAAAAAAAGGGTCGGCACTTCTAAAACGAGAAGCTCTCGTTGTTTTTTTTAACCTGATATCTGCTGATAACTCTCATGTTTTATATTATCTGAGATAATAAACCCTCATGTTGTTTGATAATCTGATATAAACCCTCATGTTTATCTGAGATATCACAGTCTCATATGATGTTTGTTAATCTGATTCTACCTGACCTGACATACTGTGTGTGATATCTGTGTTACAGTAAGCCACTCCTGACTTGAAAACAACTGGACTCTATGATCCTCACTATGCTGCTCAGGTAGGCCATGCGGCCGCCTCAGACTGTCAGTGGATGCATGCTGACCTGCGAGCCGGTCTGGGATGTAGACTGGACTGGGGTTTGACAGGCGTGCTGGCAGCGTCATGCTCTGCAGTGCCGGGGTGCTGGGTTTACTGTTCTCCTGACTCTGGCCCTTGTCGGTCTGCGTGCAGCTGTCCCTGCTGCCCGTCTTGGAGTGTCCTGCCGTCATAGGGGTGGAGGGGAGCACAGGCGAGGGGGACGAGGAAATTGAATCTGTCCTGAGGGACTCAGCACGGAACTCTGGACCAAGTAGAACCCCTGAGGAACCAAAGCAGAGAACCATGTAGTACCCAAAAGGGCCAGTATGAGCTGCTGTGAGAGTCAAGATTATGCAAATTGCTTAGGAACTATAAACATATGCACGATGTTACGCCACCCAAAAAACGAACACAGAAGAGCTAGGTGAAGATCTGGTAGAGAAGTGGAGGTCTGTGCGATACCACGCCCTCTAGTGGATGCCTTTTTTTAAACATCCATGCCAAAGAAAGAGACACATGGGAGTATACTGTGTAGGTAGTGACAGTTATTTATTGTTTCAAACATATGTGTCTATTTTCATAAGCGAAGGAAGGAAAAATAAGACTTTACCCAGACGGTACCCCTGGCTGAACCCTTACCCAGACTGCCCTTCCAGCTCGCGTCCTTGCGTTCCTCAGTGATGGGGGAGCTACTAAGTCCCAGACTGTGAGAGAGCAGACCTGATCCACCTGAGCCCGTGTTGGAGATGGACATCAGGGACTTGGAGGGCCTCATGGCAGACGGGACGTCCGACTTCAAATTCTCCTTCCTGGAGCGCTGGTGGAGTACTTTGATCATGGCGTCCTTCTCTATGATCTGCGCATGGAGATTCTTAATCCTGGATCAGTATCACAAAAGGAGCAACAGTTAGAGGACGACCCGAGACCCTGAGATCATTACTTGTGCACCTTCACACTGCAAAAACTCAAATCTAAGCAAGTGGCCTGCATTCCTCATAATATTTTCTTTTTTAAACTGCCAGTGGTGCAAGAACAATACTTGTTTAGTGTCTTGAAATGAAGTGTGTAAACTCAATTATTTAACATCTCATTTTAAGACCAGACCAGGCTAGTTTTTATTTTATTTTTGTATCTTGAAATAAGATATGTATATACTTGTCAGGAGACCTTGGCTTAAAATAAGTGTAATGACATATTTCTAACTAGAAATTAGACAAATATATTTGCTTGGGTTGTAGTTGTGTGTGTAGTTGTGTTGCCTAACGGAAGAAAGCCTTCAGCTCCTCAGCTTTCCATTCTTTATGTTCCGCTGTTCATAACAAGTGATGTCATTTATATAGTCTATTTCCCACTGTCCCAACTTTTTTTTGAAAGTGTTGCTGGCATCAAATTCAAATTAGACATATTTAAAAAAAAAAAAACAATGACATTTCTCAGCATCAGCATCTGATGTGTTGTCTTTGGGCTTTTTTTTTAAATCAAATATGGGGTTTCAATGTTTTGCAAATCATCAAATTCTGGTTTTACATACATTTTACACCTCATCCCAACTTCTTTGAATTTAGGGTTGCACTTGATATTTTGTCTTAATATCCGCACATTTTTTGTTGTATAATTTATTTATTTTTATATTTTGCACAATTTTGACATTTCCTTGTTAGATCTTTTCCTCATATATTCCTCAGGCTGCTGCTGGACTCAGTGTTTGTGTGTCTTTGTCTGAATAGTTCTGTATGCGTACCTGCTCTCCATGTCCAGACACCGTCGGTTCGCCATCAGGATTTCCTCTTCTTCCTTCTGAATTCGAGCCTCCACCGATGTGTCGTAGCTGCTGCTGGGAGAGTGACAGATGATGGCTGAAGACCGATCCCTGACACACAGAGGAGAAACCTGTGTTAGACTACTGTATTTAGATTCCTGAAAATGATGCTAGCTCTGAATACTGATACAATTTCCAACAGCCATTCTTTAAAGTTATCATCACCACATGAGAATTAACCTGACATCAGTTCCTCTTCTCGACTCTAAACAGGAGTTAAAAGTGGCAGCCATAAAACATCTCAGGCATTGTAAGACTCTGCTTTGGAGCAGTGAAGAGTTGAACCCTGTTGTAATACTGTAAACACCTGATGGCATTAGATCAGCGCACAATCTGTTACCTGATCCTGCATGTCAGTCTGCATCAGTGAGTTTTCCTCTTATTATCACAACAACAGTTTCATAAATAGTTCTGAGAGTCTTTGATACAAAAGTTTGGCTGCGACAATTTCTGCTCTACTTCACCTCTGAGTGGCAACTGATGCAGCAGCGTCCAGGGCGAACTGCCTCATCACGCTCTCCTCCAGGTACTTCTGCTCCCACTTGGTCATGTCAGCCTCCAGAGCCAGGATCCGCTCCTCCTTCTCCCTCAGGTGCTCCATGAGGGCTGTGGCGTTGTACTCGGAGGGGGATACACCGCTGTTCTGAGAGCCGCCTTGACGCTACAGCGACAGAGGATATATGAACAGAGGGAGGCGGAGCAGAGAGAGGACAAGTAGAGGAAGAGCAGAGCAGAGGAAGAACAGAGGACATGAGCGGAGGAAGAGCAGAGGAAGAGCAGAGGAAGAGCAGAGGACATGAGCAGAGGAAGAGCAGAGGAAGAGCAGAGGACATGAGCAGAGGAAGAGCAGAGGAAGAGCAGAGGAAGAGCAGAGGAAGAGCAGAGGAAGAGCAGAGGTCATGAGCAGAGGAAGAGCAGAGGAAGAGCAGAGGAAGAGCAGAGGAAGAGCAGAGGAAGAGCAGAGGAAGAGCAGAGGACATGAGCAGAGGAAGAGCAGAGGACATGAGCAGAGGAAGAGCAGAGGACATGAGCAGAGGAAGAGCAGAGGACATGAGCAGAGGAAGAGCAGAGCCGGAGAGGAAGATAAGAAAGAAGAAAAATATATAGAGAAAAACAGAGGACACAGAGCAGAGGGAAAGTGCAAAAAAGGAGTAGAGCAGAGGAGGAGGACTCATGTTAGGATTTGCAGTTGTTCTGATACCTTCAAAATGTAATTATTAAGCGTTAGGTATCAGGGGGCGGCAGTAGCTCAGTCTGGTTCAAGTCCCGGCACGGACCAAGTCCGGAAATTGGCCTGGTAGCTGGAGAGGTGCCAGTCCACTTCCTGAGCACTGCCGAGGTGCCCTTGAGCAAGGCACCTAACCCCCCCACCAGCTCAGGAGCACCCACTGTGGGCAGCCCCCTCACTCTGAAACCTCTCCATTAGTGCATGTCCATAGGATCCTGTTTGTGCATGTGTGTGTGTATTTCAGCCTATGTTTGTGTAGCATGTTAACTAGACAGAGTGTAAAAATGAATTTCCCCTCACGGGATCAATAAAGTAAACATTATTATTATTAGAAGTGTAGCCGTTATCAGCAGCCATGTTTTACAACCTCACTTCCTGCAGGACTCAGGACAGTGGATTAACATGTTTTTACTTTTACCAAGGAACAAAGCAACTGATAAGTCTCCCTCTTAGACAGGATATTATGAACTTTTACAACACCTTGAATAAACAACCGAGCGGAAACAGAACACTCTGCTATCTACGAATTGACCCCAAAGACATGAACTGTGACCGCAACCAGTCTCTGCAAAGTCGTACAACTGACCATCTGTTGAAGGACTGCTGAAGAATTGATTAAACCACAGCGTTCAATTCTGCATCAAATTAACATTCATGTCTTTCTTCATCTAGACATTTGTAATTGTCACATTGAATGTATTATAATCATCTTTTTAAACTTAAAATCTGATCTTCAGAATAGGAATAAGAGTTATATTATGTTTAATAAGAATCTGACATCGAGCGCTATTGCCATAACCTTCATAATTATACATTTAGACGTGTTATAAAGCATACTCTTTGATATTAGCTATAGAAGGTGTTATTTAAAGACATCAATTTCTTTTCCTACTTTGTTAATATGTCTTATTAAGAATGCTGACTATATGACATGTTTTTGTTCACCAACAGGCTGGGATTAACTGAGGATGTTCCCAGGTGGTGTGATTTTCATCTCAACATGAATCTGATAGAAACGTTTGTCTAAATATATGACGTGAACCTACATCAACGTGGATCTGATAGAAATAATATCAAAATGAATGTATGGTGACGTATATATGTTTAGATTCTTATTCTTAATCTTATTGAGTAAACTCGGTTTAGTTTAAACAATTGACCTCCGGTCAGAATGGGAGTCACCCGTGGGCGGCCCCTTCTTCTCCTGCAGACCCCCCTGCAAGAGTTCACACTGAGCTCAGACGTTTAGTTCTTAGTTTCGGTTTGTGAAGTTTAGAGCTTTAGCTCTTGCTCGCTTCTCTTCGAACTTCGGTCCGAATCACTTCTTTTAAGTTTGTGCTGTAGAGACGACTCTCTGCCGAACTTTTATTTTCAACGCACAATTTTTGGAAACATCAATTCTTTCTGGCTTAAGCAAGGCTTTTGAACTTTCTTCTCCAAAGTCTGAACCGACATACAATCTCCATCCCAGCTGCACTCCGACCAAGTTGTCAAGGCATCTAATCTGGCCCGTGGACCTCTCTGGGCCTGAAAAGAACCGCTTGCCAGAGACTGAAAAACGGGACCAGCCGGAGTTCAATTGAACACATCTCACAGTAAGACTGCTGGTGGCAAGGGGTGTTGGAAGATCAAGTCTTGAGTCGTGTCTATTCAGAGCCCTCCTTAAAATCCAAATAGAATCCCAAATTCCTTTATCAACTTTTTCTTTTTGACCATTTTCTGATTAAGTCATTCAAACAATACCGCGTCTTATCTCATTACTAAATATATAATGTCACCACACATTATAATTGCATTATCCTGATCATAATAATCATATTCTTCATCTGTTTCATCTATACCTTACTGTTTACCCCTTTTATATTAAATTTTACACATAAAATTCAGGACTTTGTCTGTGTGTTTTCTTGTTTAACATTTCCAGAACTTACTTCTTTCAAGATATGAAACTGACCGATTAATTAATTAACTTACACCATTAAAGTTATTTTCTTCCTTTAACAGAGGAAGTGGTGCCCCTTTCTTTTAATCCGAGGTTAAATAAAGATATAACATCTTAATAATTTAATTACGCTACATCAAGTGACCTAGATCATGTGGAAACCTTCAAAGATGAGACTGTAGTTAACCTTTAGAGAGTAAAAGACATCAAGGCTCAAACATGTTCCTCAGTAAATTCACGTAGAAACCAGACAAAAAGGTGTGCAAGATGCTGTTTATGAGCTTCTCAGTCTCAAATATTAGTATCCTATTTTATATTTACATCCTGTACATTTGCATTTTTTGTGTTTTTAATGTTCATTTTATAGTTATGTTGTTACTTTGTTGTTTTTCTCTGCTTTGAAAGGTGACCTTGAAACATTTTAAGGGCGCTTTTAAATAAAATGTATTATTATTATTATTATTATTAATTAGTCTATGTGTTACCTGCTGCATGAGTGCTACATCATGTCCTGCACCAGTTTTACCTGCTTCATTAGTGTTACCTGCTGCAGGTGTAAGGTATGTGCTGCATCAATCTAACCTCCTGCACAAGTGTTACCTGCTTCATTAGTTTTACCTGATAAATGTGTTACCGGCTGCATGTGTGTTACCTGCTGCATGCGTAAAGACTCCAGCTCCCTCTCCAGTCTGGTACGGAGGCGATGCTCCAGCTGTTCTCTCTTCTCACAGGCTGCCTGAAGCTGAGCCAGAGCCTGCTGCATCCGTTCCACTTTCTCCACATACACCTGCTTCTTCTTAAGCTGCACACACACACACACACAAATGAAAACCTATTCAGCAGCAGCGTGTGTTACTGCTGATTTAACCAGACAGGCTCATACCTCCTCCTCAAGTTTGACTACTTTGGCCTGAGCGTTGTTGAGCGCCTGGTCTCTGATCTCAATGTGTCTCCTCTGGTCCTCCGTAGTGGAGCGCAGAGCGTTCAGCTCCATCTCCAGCTTCTCCTTCTCACGCTGCGTCTCTTTATCTGAGTAAACCCAAGAACACTGTTCAGTCACAGTAAGTCTGTGTGTAGTGTGTGTAATTTGTTGTGTGCATAATGTCAGTGTATTGCATGTATGTTCTGTGTGGTTCTCACTCTGAGTCAGCAGCTGGGAGATGGTTTTGCGGTTGTCCTCTGAGCCTTCACACTCTTTAGCAGCTAGCTGTTTGTTGGCAGTCTCCATGCGCTCTTTAGAAAAACACAAACATGTTGTGAGACAACACAAAGAACAGATGTGTTGAGAGAATACACACCTCATGAGGATCCGCTGCATTAAAGGAGGGGGAATAACTCTAACAAACTAACTTCAAACAACAACATTTCAGAGCGTGACGGGAAGTGAGCAGTTTTTATCTTTTAAGAAAAAAGGTTTGAAGAAAACTGGTTATCAACCGAACAGTTTAACAGAGAGTTTTTATCAGCATAGTCACACAAAGGGGCAGAGTAAGCAGCATATGACCAATTGCAAACATAAATAAGCTGTCAGCTCATCTTCATATTTTACAAACTCAAAACAAAATGCAGGAAGTACAACTGAAGAAAAGGGTGAATGCACACATTAAGGCGTATTAACCTCTTTCCCATCCTTAGAGCAAAATACACCTGAACATAAAATCTGCAGTTTTTTAAGACCTAATAAATCATTTGTAATCCCGACAGTCACAAACAGAAGGGTATGGAATTAATAAAATGAATAAAAAATATATACAAAAGTGATAGTTTTACATATTTCAAACACAGCTACAAGGCTCCGGAGCGTTTTCAGCCTCTGTTAAAGGATAATATAAGTAAAGCGAAATACTTTTCATTAACATAATTCAGATGTAAAGTCTGAGAGCAAAGACAAAATGTGTTTTCCAGTCTCTCTGTCTGTCTTGATCAGCTCACAGACCTGTGTAATCACGTGTCTGATTGATCAGTGAGTTTCACACGGGTTGAGGTCTTAACCTCGAACGTGACCTCATTCAGAGCAGATAAGATGTTCAACATAAGTTAGTTGGTGATATCACCACCTTCAAAGTACTGAAAACCCAGAGTTAACCCTGAAATCCTACTCTGTGGTATAATCCCAGGAGGAGATATATAGGCCAGAGATGACAGGGCACCATTTGTACCTGCTGCTGATCTTTGACTGTAAATACAGTTTAAAGCTCCAGGAGAGCTCAGCATGATTGGCCCTTCACACAGAGATGATTTTGTGTTTGTTTGTGATCGTCCATGAAGACAGATATTTGATCCTTGCACCTTCAATGCTAGCACTAAACTAAACTAAAAACTAGACTTCCCATCAAGCTATTCACGATCATACACTACCATAAACACACTGATGGATCTGCCTTCAGGAACCAGGAGCCAGCGCTCTAATTCCATTCCAATGTCCGAAACAATTTTTTTTTTTTTTTACATGTTTTGTACCTTTTAGTCCTTTCGATAAAACACATGTTAATTTAACTCTCACCACGTAGGTCCCTGTTGAAGTCATGCAGCCGGCGCACCTCCAGCTCCAGCTTGTTCCTCATAGTTTTCTCCAGCGCCTCCCTCTTAGAGGAGGACTTGGCTAAGTTCTCATAAGCCTCTGAAACCAACTGGATCTCCGTTTCCAGCTGCCACAGGAAGAATGGAGGGAACACAGTGAAAATATTTCAGATTAAATCCATGATATAAATGCACAACATGTCAAACATACTGCACTCTGACTGCTGGTCTGTAAACCTGCAATATTTACAGTGTGTACAATGTTTGTAAAGTGTGTACCATGTATGCAGTGTGTGTAAAGTTAGTACAGTGTGTGTTTGAATGAACAGTTGGGACGGGACAGTGGACAGAGTCAGAAATTGGGGAGAGAGAGTGAGGAATGACAAATTTGATTCACATGTTTTATATTCCTCTGCATACCTTTAAACTCAGAGTGTTAAAGTTGATCAGTAGTTGATTTTAACATAAATCCTGCTTCTGACAAGGCAAATAGCCAATCATAGTGGCTTAGGATTTTGTCTTGGCACATGGGTTGGCCAATCAGATTTCAAGGGGGGGGGGGGGGCCCAGGCCATCAGATTTAAAAGGGTTAATGACCCTCTGCAGGGGTTGATGTTTTTAGGTTACCTTGTGCAGCTTGGTGACTTTCTCGCGGCAGGCCTCCATCTCCTGCCTCAGCATCCTGTTCTCATCTGTCAGCACGTCCACCATCTGATGAGCCCGAGCCATTATAGCAACCGGCTCCCCCTGCATGTGAGAGTAGGAGTGTGGGTGGGGGAAATGTGCAGCCTGGACAGGCGGCTGGAGCATGGGAGGAGGGTTTCCTGTAAACTGTTGCTGTTGTTGTTGTTGTTGTTGGTGGTGCTGGTAAAGCTGCTGTTGCTGCTGCTGCTGCTGCTGCTGATGCTGCTGCTGCTGCTGATGCTGCTGCTGCTGCTGCTGCTGCTGCTGCTGCTGCTGATGGTGCATCCTGTGGGTGGAGCCGTAGGGGTCTTGAGCTAAGGCATGACCTCTGGGTGGCATTTGGTGCATCGACGCCATTGTGAAGCTCTCTCCTCCAGGGTGGGAGCCTGGACTGCGAGGTCCCATTGTGGGAAAGGGCTCCCCCTGGTTATGGGGGTGCTGGTGAGGGAAGGATGGGTGGGAGGAGTGGGAGGCACTGAGCATGCTGCTGAGGGTGGAGGACTGAGCGCGAGATAAGGACCCCACGGAGGTGACGGAGGAGGTGGGACTGTGTTGGTGGAGGGTCCTCTGGGAATGAAGTGACCCCTCCTTACTTGACCTGAGCAGAGAACAAAGTGTCATTATCAAGGTGTGATTGTAAGAGGTGTGGAAATGGTTATTATGTAGAACTTTTCTACTCTGACCACCCGTTTCACACATGTATTCATACACTGATTTGAGGGGCCGCTACACAAGTGCCAGCCTTCAAATCAGTTTCAAACCATTCACACACTGATGAATGTGCCCTCTAGATGAATGTGGGCTCCAGTGTCTTGCCTGAGGACACTAACATTTAGCCTTCAGTAGTTTACCTACATTTTCCAGTATGTTTGGGGTATCGTCACTGATTTCTGAATCAGATAGCTTTTCAGTAGCTTCGCTGTTTTATTGATCAAGCTACATTTTCCCAGAACAAAGTTGAAGAGTGTCGCAGAGTGTTTCAGTCAAGCTCCGAAATCTAATCAATCTGCTTATAAAAAAGATTATTTTCAAAAACAGAAGAATATACAGGTTAAAAATGAGTTGTGTTTTTGATATCATGAACTCTTTTTGTCCGTTTGATTCACCTGCTGTCTGTTTCTCTCTGCATTGTGGGAAATCACCAGTTGAAAACCAGCTTTGCAGTGAGCTAACATTCTTGCCTTTAGTCTAAAAAAAAAAAAAACGTAATCAAAGTCAAGTCTCAACTTGTCCTGCCTCATGATATAAATCCTGCGGTATTCATGTCTGTGTGAATATCTGGTTCCTTCCAGGTAAAGACACTGAAACAGGTCCAACAGGATCCTTTATCTTTATTAAGAAAAACACTTTTGGGAAATCCTAACGAGGTCCTTTGTTTTTTTCCTTTTGAATGTTTGTTTGGATCTTTCTTTGGCCTGCTTCTTCAGAAAACTAAAAGCATTTTACGATCACTGCACAACCAAACAGTACCTGTGTGCATTTAAACCTGGCAGTATGTTGATGACAAACAGCCGGCTCGTGCTCTGATCAGCTGGACTGATTGATAATCAATCACTCTCCACATCATTTGGAGATGCCCCCCCCCCAAAAAAAAGTGACTTGTGATCACGGGATGATGAGCGTGTGTTCTTGTGGAGAATCTCTGTTCTGCTTCATTTCAAAAGATGTGTTAGAGGTCTTGTTCTGGCTGAAGTTGCTACGGAAACCGCTCAGATGACTTGTAATGGAGAGAAAAAAATGACTAAACCCAAGATTGTAACATTTTATGGGGCTTAAACTGGGTCCTTTGAATATCTTAATGACTTTTAACAGAGTGTGTCTGTTTGAAACACGGAGTACAGCCCTGAAAACTACACTTCTATTTCTATCTATAGATCTAAAAACATTAACGTTGGCAAAGCGAAAATGAAAAAAAAAAAACATCCACTGATGGATAGACAGAGAGAGATCTGCAGAGTTTGTTCTTTATGTTGTGTGTGTGTGTGTGTGTGTGTGTGTGTGTGTGTGTTGATGGGGGCCCTTCCTCACCTGAAGGAGCCATACTCAGGTGGGGGCTGGTATCTGACATGGGGCACCTCCCTGGAGTGCTCCCTCCCTCTCTGCTCCTGGTAGAAGTGGCCTCCAGAGTCCTGTTGCTTAGAGGGAGAGCTCATTCCTTTAAAGGGGTAGTCCGGAGGCGGGCCCCGGTGCTGCGGCTTGTAGTAGTCGCCCGGAGGCCCGGGGGGGGGCAGCAAGGGGGAGAGTGGGGCACTGGTAACGGGAGCGTGAGCCTTCACCGCTTGTGGCGAGGGAGAGCTGCATGAGGCGTTCACTGAGGGAGCGAACGTGGCCCTGCTTCAGATCTTTGAGCCCGTCGTCCTGGTGCACCTTCCCCGCTCCACTGACCCGCTGCACCGTTGGACGACCCTCCGTGCGCACCTTCGCATTGGTCATCCCCGTGACATAGAAGGCGGCTCCCACGGAGTTGGGGTGGGGAGGCTGCTGGGGAGCGTTGTTCTGTAGCGGAGGCTGAGAAGGAGGAGGACCATGACCCCGGAAATACTGAGACTGCACTTTGGCCTCCTCGTACGTCGGGAGGTCCTCAGGGTTTTGACACTGCCCCTGGAAGCTCAAACCTCCTCCACTGCTACCTCCACCTCCTCTGCTGGAGCCCAGCTTCTCCACACCACTGTCCGTCTGCAGCTCCTGACCTTGGGGTTCCTGCCGGGCAATGTGGGGGGTCAAAGAGTGGTCATCAGGGAGGCTGATCTGTCCTTGACCCTGTCCTGAGTAACCTCCTCCAACTCCGCCACCTCCTCCCCCTCCTACTTGCTGTTGTTGCTGTTGCTGCTGTTGCTGTTGCTGCTGTTGTTGCTGCTGTTGTTGTTGTTGTTGTTGGTGGTGGTGCTGCTGCTGCTGCTGCAGGACATAGTTACGGTTCATCTGCTCCTGCAGGAGGCGCTGCAGGACATTGCTGCTGCCACCTCCTCCTCCACCTCCACCCCCCACACTGCTGCTGCTGTTGGATGACTCCTCCGCTGCAGCCCTCATCTCTGCCTCCCGCTGGCTACGCACCTCATGGAAGGACAAACTCCGGCCGCGGTCAATACTCCCTACAAGGAGGAGGACGCAATGTAGCAAAAAGACAACAGATAAAAGGACAGGAAGCATTGAAGTCTACCACACTCCCCCCCCCCCCTCGCCTCCCCCTCCCCAAAGCCCATGAAGACCCAATGACTCACGATGGGACAGTCTTGAAAACCCTGACAAACATAAACACCAGACAATAAAGACTGTGACAGATGACTGACCGCGATGTTTTAGGCTTTAGTATTGCTTACTCCACCACCTAGCGTAGCACAAACAGATTAGCATTGTTAGCACTAAAGCTGCAGAAGTTTAATAACTGAGCAGTGGATACAGCATCTGAGATTCTGACTAATGAACATCAGAGTGTAAAGAAGCTACCTTCTGGTTTGTAAAGGGACTTTCGACATCAAATGATGGGACAGAATGAGTACAGAACTTTGTAATGTTATAGGAGGATCAGATCAATTGATTGATGAATCCAGAGGATTGGACACTGTAAATATTTATTTTTTTAGCTCTGACTTGTTTTTAGAATTCAGAGGAAAAAGTTAGCATTCTGAGATTAAAGATTCCGCAAAAAAAAAAGAGTCTGAATTCTGAGAAGAAGTCTGAACTATTTTTTTTTCAGTGGCCTTCATGATTTTTCAGATGACTGTATGACACTTCATCAGACTACAATTTGGACAAGAATCACAGAAAAATGAAAATCACACAGGATCCCAGAGTCTCTATTTGACCCCTTCACATGAACAACAGCAAATCAATTATTTGAATTTAAATATATAATATAATATATATATATATGACTGTTAAAACCCCCTGGCTATGGCACAGAAAAAACACAATTATTTCATTTGAAGAGAATCAAAACCCAGTGATTTGAATACATTCATATAGAGTAAGAGACAGAAGCATGTGTGTTCAGTTGAACATCCAAAGTTGTCAGAGTGGAAACCACATAGTGTTTATCTGCTGTGATGTTGTTTCGTTTCCTCCTTAGTCAAACCCTGTTTAATTCTATTAATAAATGAGAAGGAGTGGTTAAACTGCTTTGTATACAGTTTCCTTCTTTTTGCCCGTTATTGAAGGGGGACATCATTTATAATAAATCATTCTACGTGTGGTTTTTTGCTGACAACCCTGAAAGTTAACAACTGCAACATTTTACACCTCTCTCTACAGAGTAAAGGAATAAATCATTACATCTAGCGCTTTCTGATATTCTTCTCATTCTCAACGAGGAAGATGCTTTTTTCCGAAACATCTGCAGATAAATGAAATTGTGAGACAAAAGGAAAAAAATGTTAGCTTTGGTCAACAATAGGTCACATCTCTTCAAGCTGAAGAGGGAGAAAAGAACAAAGTATGCACAGAGGCTGCAGGCTGGGTGGATGTCTTCTGATGGCTTACCAACAGAGGAGAAAATGTGTCTAAACTGACGTAATCACTGTTTTATTTGATCTGAAGAGACAGATGTTTTAAATGCGTTATTCAACATGTTTAACTGTTAGTAAATTACAGAACCTGCCGGGGGGGGGCTGCAATGTGGGACTGCTCTGTCAGAAAAACTAGTGTCAGACCTTACCGTGATAATGATTAGTTCAAGACTAAAGACGAACACGTTTGTAGACTCAGTGACTTCAACTTTTGGTGTCTGAAGTGCACTGTTGAAGGCCATCGATGGTGATCCCCCAAGTTTTTTTTTGTACAAGGCTGAAAACATGTTTATTTCTGCAGTTAAAATGTGCTTATTTTTGCACTTGCATTTTTCAACACAGGAAGTTGCCACTTGTTAAAACATACACAGAGAAATTAAGTGTCAATGGCGCGCATATGGCCTAGCGTTTAGGTCGTGCCCCATGTACGGAGGCTATAGTCCATCGTCCTCCAAGCTGGCGGCACATGTCCAAGTCAAACTGTAACTCCTATCCTGCATTTCATTCCTACTTGGAGTGCAGAGCAAGTGTGATTCATATTTGCCTTCTGTTGCAGGGTGTCATTTTAACGCCAAGCTCTCATGTGGGTTTAGGGGCAATGGGTCATGTTTAAAAACTTGCAAATGAACTTGCTCTCCCGTTACAGCCCAGGAGTAAGTCCACTGAGCTTAAGCCACAGACACAGGATGCATAACAGCACGCCTACTCCACACTTTAATGTGGATTTGGTGATACATTCAAATTTTGTTTTTAATGGATTGTAGGGCGGAGAGACTGAGAGCTTTTGTTTCTGTTTCTGTTTGTATTCAAGCTCTACTCCATGCGCTCTTTCTTGCCACTGTCAAAATAGCCCACAGATATCAATACTGGCTGTTCATTTAGGATTCCAGCAGAGAAATTAAGTGAATGAATGTTTACAGCCACCTTTATTTGATGTAGAGCACACAGAACATTAGTTTACATAGATCCTGTCGGCGTGTCTGGAGATTTGAATAGTGGGGATATGCTTTTGTGTCTCAAGCAGAAATATTCACTGTGTCTTTCTGAAAGTTTTTGATGTTGTGGGAATAATTCAGCGAAATAAAACTGAAATCCTCCATCAACATATTTCATCCTGTTTGTGTTCTCTGTGTTCAGTGGCACAATGAAAGGAATTAAGTTAAATGATCTGGCGTTTGATCTATCTCAGAATAAAAACTGAAATCCACTGTGTAAATAGCAACGTGACATTCTGTAGGCGCACCTGGCTCTTTAAGGGAACGGGAGCTGACACTCTGATTGTTTTTTTTATTTTGACCTCTGTGCGCTCTGCGCCTGGCCCGCGCATAGCCTGGGTCTGTCGTAGTTGGCTGTTCTGTTTGGGTTGTTGTCGCCACTAAAGACCATGTGGGGTGTTAGGTAAATTATCAGTAGGTCAAAAACATTGGGACACGGTCACAATGTGTGTGTGTGTGCATAGGAAGGGGGCGCTCATATTTTTTATTGGGCACAAGTTGTTTTTATTTTAAATTAAGATAATAAGTGAAGGGGAATACATTCAGAATTACAAGATAACTAGATTGGAGGTTTTGGCAGGTTGTGCAATAGACATAAACCAGGATCAGTATCCTAGAGATGGTGTAGTAGTTTTTAGTTGACTACAACTCAGATTTTCGTTTTTTTACAACCACCCAGCCCTGTTCCTCTCTATAGCATACTTCAACTGCATTTTTTCTGCAGGTCAACATCAACTCTTCTGCCCATCCAGTTCTCTGTCCGTGTCTATAAATCTAGTTCAGTCTCTATGAATCCAGCTCAGTCTATATAAATTCAGTTTAAGTCTCTAAAAAACACAGTTTTGGTTCTGTGAGTCAAATACAGAAACTTGTTTCTTGGCATGAAGTTTAATATCCATACCACAACTATAGAGTTTTTGTAATGTAATGTACATTGGGGTAACTTTGTTCTAAATGTTTTGGTATCTTTCAACTTAAAAATTCAATTCATAGGAAGCAGAGAGATAAATAACATGACATCAGAGACTGTTCAACCAATGCAAATCAGAATCATTGATCATGCAACAAGACCTTTGATATGCAGAATGAAAAGGACAAGAGACTTTATACTACAAAAAAAAATTTCTATCTAGAACACAGACTTACACTATTACACGGACACACGCACGCACACACACACACACACACACACACAAGCAGTGACTACTGTATGTGTTCCTCTGCAGACGTTCCACTAAGTTACTCACACTAACTTCCTCCCCCCACCCATACCTACCTGTGAGGCTGCTCACACTGCACTGTGCCTGTAGTGGGCGTCAGAAGTGGTTCATGTTCAGATGCTGCAGCACCAGCACTTGGAGGCGGGGCAGGGTCTGGGAGTAGCTGTTGATGATGTTGATGACAAAAGGTGTTTTGGGTGGAGAAGTGGTCCGTTTTAAAGTGGTCTTGTCTAAGGTGGTACAGTTTAGGGAGGTCTGTTCTGAATGGGTCCAGTGTAGCGTGGCACAGCTCCTGGTTTTGGCCTCCCTGCAGGTCCTATAGAGAGGTTCTGGTGAACGTTCCTGCAAAAGAAGAGAGATGAATTTTAACATTTAAACATGTAATGTACTGCTTTGTTTGTTTGAGGATCAGTGTAACCAGGGGGGGATACTTCAAAGCACGATTTCTGACGGTTGAGGTAACTTCAGGGTTAACTCTGGATTTTCAGGACTGCAAATGAGGTTCACTTCTTACCGAGGTGGTAACTTGCTGAACTAACTGAACACCTATCCTGCTCCAGAGCAAGTTATGTTTGGAGTAAGAGATCATTCTGTAAAAGTCTCAACTGACCAATCAGAGCCCTTTATCGTGGAGCTCTGTGAGCTGATGAGCATGAAGTGGATGAGGGAGAGAGACCGGTGTCACAGTGTAACTGGTCATGAATTAACTGGTGAAATTCTGGCAGATGTTTAGCATGCTTGTCTTTTGAGGACTATTGTTTTCTATCCAATAACACTGACCATCCTTTTCAACTTACTTCCCTATTACAAGAGTTTATTACTGTCTTCAAAAGAATGTTTAAAAATGTGTTCAAAACAAGGCAAACTCCACAAACTCTTTAACACTAATGTCGCTGAAGGCACTGATAAATTCTCATATGGGAAGCCAGCGACAGATTTAGGATGTTCAATGTTATTTTGAAAGAAAACTCGGGTCCTCAAAAGCCGCTCGTGCCTAACTATCTCCAGTTAATTCATCACTTAAACTTTGACACCAGCAAACACTCTGTCATAACCATCAGATTTTACATGTGAAAAATAACAGTGAAAGTTATTAATTGTTCTCTACTGATGTCATCCTTTCAGAGAGACTGACAAAACAGTCAAGAGTTTTAATGGTTGTATTTATGAGATGTAAAATGGTGCGAGTAAAAAACTGAATCTGTCACCAACACAAAAAGATGCAAAAGTTTGTTGCACTTTGGAGTCAAACATTGTGTATGTGGCTATGATCAATAAATCAATCAATCAATCAATCAATCAATCACATAACAAATGCTACCACTACAAAAGAGCCGGTAAAATACCTCCTCTCTGTTATATTATCAACAATGATGAATGGTTTATGTTATTTATTATTTATTTTAAAACAATGAATAACAAACTTGCCTTTGACACACACACACACACACACACACACACACACACGCACACACACACGAATGTCCTAAGGGGACAGAAGTTCCGAGTGTGACTCAGATGATAAGAACGACAACAGAACTAACTCTGCTCCTCTGAAGAGAAAAATAATGAGCTCCAGATGCGGCCGGGACGTTCCCCAGGCCTGCACCTCCCTCCACCCCTCCTCCCACAAACATGCACATATTTGTCAAGATCAATCTGAGCTTTTGACCTGTAAATTAAAAAGATAGAAACTGTAGAAGAAATTTAAAAAAATCCCATCATCTAAATACTGCAAAGACACCAGGAAAAAAACAACATCAAATGATGATGCTCAGCTGCTTTCTATAGGATGTATAGAGTATATGTAAAGACAATTTATTATTAAATAATACATTTATTTATGAAGATTATTGACATCACGTTGTGGCTGTATCTCTGTTTGACATAGTTTAATATAGTCAGCATCTCCAAACCCAGTGGATGGGCCCTTCAGAAACCAATGGGTGACTGAAACTTCATCTGTTTTTATATACACCTTTAGAAGACCCAAGTTCGCGTGATATCAACCTCGTTGAACATGGGTTATTCGCGAGTGTCACAACGACATCTCTGATTGGTGTAGCTCACTGTTACCGTGACAATGTTTCAAGGTGCTTAATGCGAACAAATCGTTTTGCGAGCAGGCTAGCTGGTTGGTTAGCTAACAGGAAATGTACTAATAACCTCGTTATGGAGCAGTGAATGTAATTGATATACTCAACAACACAGACTACAAGATATTGCAACACTTGCATTAACAGTATAAACACCATAACAACAAAAAAGTTACATTTAAGAAGAAGCAATATCATTCGCAATGGATTATGGGATGGATAATTGACTTTGGATGAACATTATGTACATAGTCTTGTACCTTTCCCTTTTTCTCAGTTTTTGCACTGAATTAAATGTTCTATTGTCACAATTGGGGTAGCTGGTTGACTTCAATCTCTTGATATCAGGATTTTGTGAAATGTCAATGGAGGATTTGAATGGGGAAATTTACTTCCGGGTTGCTTTTCTTAAAGATGCAAAGAGATTGAATGGAATTTTTAAGTTCATTCTTCCACCAGGGTTGACAGAGTAGATGTGTCTAGCTAGAGACTTAGGACCATGTTGTGAAGGTTGGATCAGAGGCCTTTCATTGGCAGAGTTTGGTGGGTGGGAGGGAGTGTAGACCTGAATGAGAGAGATTAGGTGGAGCCATTTTTGTTGCCTGTTTGTAAGCGAGCAGCAGGATTTAGAATTTGATGTGAGCGGTGACAAGCGGAGAAAGCACAACAGGGGAGGTTGAAGACCAGTCGCGCTGCTGTGCTTTGGATCATCTGCAGTTTGATTTCACTGAGCAATCGAGGACACTTGAACCCTAAATGTTAGCTGGCCATCAATCATGACACAGAGGTTATGGGAAGACTTTGTGGGCATGAGTTTGGTTGTACCAAGCTGGATATTGATCTGTGGTTCCATAGGACAAAATTCTTGCTGAGACTGTGACGTCATCTGGAAGGAATGACAGGAAGAGCTGGGTATCTTCAGCATAGCAGTGGTACGAGAAGCCATGAGAAAGGGTTATTGCACCAAGTGAGGTGATGTATATGGAGAAGAGAAGTGAACCAAGCACTGACCCTTGGGGCACCCCTGTGGATAAATTGTGCAGTTCTGACTTCTTCTTTCCAAGATACTCTAAAAGATCTCCCATGAGAGGCAGGACACGAACCAGCAAATCCTTGCTTGGATAGGAGGATTTGATAGTTAACAATGCCAAAGGCAGCTGACAAGTCTAGAAGCATCAGAACTGAGGACGGACCAGTAGCTATAGCCTTACGTAGCGATTCTGTAACTGATTGAAGACTGAGCGAATATTAGTTAACTTACATGAATCTGTAACCTATAAGAATCTTTAGCTCTTCTGTGATAAAAATGTATACCAGGTGCAGTAATAAAAGTACTCTTACTGTACCACGCTGACAGTATTTCACTACAAGTAAAAGTCCTTCAGTCAAAGTAGGTCAGTATCATCATTAGTATGATGTTAAAAAGTATCAATATTGAAGTAATATTTCCCTGGAAGTGTTTTAGTTATAGGTTATTCATTTGATAGCTGCATTAATATGCATGTAGCAGTTCATTGCTTTTGGTGTGAAGGTTTTATATGAGTTTAAAGAAGACAGATTATACTACCTTTGTCCTGATTAATTATTTAAGTAACAAATTATTTTAAGATACAAAGATTTTTAGCTTAAAGTAATGACTGAAATGTAATGATTTTTTACAGATCAAAACAGGACTGAAATGTTTAGAATTGTCGTCACCTAAACTGGATTAAAACTGTAAAAAAGGGTAAAAATTACTAAACTGTGACTAAAACTAAAATACATTTTCATTTAAAGACTAATACTGAAACGAAATCTAAACTAACAGCCAAAACACTGGGGAAGTGAAATGTTTATTCTGCATTGGCATTTTTAGGCTAATTAAATGTAACAAAGATGTCAGCACATCATGTCTCTGCCATTGTTTGAAGTTTAAGTGTCTGATGAACCTTAAAACATGTTAATGTGTCACTCAAACTGGACCTCCTGGATTCTTTTACACGTCCAGCTGTGACACTGCCCTTTCTTTTCTTGTGAATTAATATGCAAAGTGATCAAACCTGAAATGCGAAACTTAAGTCACCTTGGATTCATGTTGTTCAGACAAGTTTGTACATGTTTTCCAGACTGCCACATTCTTTGGTCATCACTCATTCAATCATTGTGACTGTTGTTTTTCAATTTTAATGCTCAAGCATATCACCTGCTGCTCGTGAAAAAGGTTCAATTTATGAACTAATTAATGATAAAATTAAGAAAAATTGCATGTAATATTAAAGTCCTTAAGACAACAAATGAAGCCAGAAATCAAATAAAACAAAGGGAATAAAAATCCAGCAGAGTATACCCAGCAGAGAAGCTTAAAACTATAAAGACTTTTAAAACTGTTGGCTATGAGTAATATGAATGAAAAATACATTTAGATTCTTAATCTGTCCTTAATCACTCTGTTACCATCTTCTATATAAACCTGAGTTTAGCTCCAACCTTGTTGATTTCTGACAAATGTGGCTTATATGAGTTAATTCCTACCTCCTCGGAAATCCTGTATCTTCTACTAAAAAAGTATCCAGGTGGTCAGACGGTGAGTTTCTGTTTTACTAACATCTTGCTGCTCTGTGCAGGTTTGAGGCGGTACACCTCTCTTTCCTTTTCCCCCCTCCCTCTTCCCTCACTGCAACAGGTGGGGCAGGGAGGGAGAGACAGGTGGATCTGGAAAACATTCAGGACTGAGCCACTCCTTCATACCTGTGTGCTGGTGTAACTACCAGCATTTATTCTGCCAACCGTCGAATGAGAAAAAAAAAAACCCTCAGACTATCACTTCCTCTTTCCCACAGAGTGAGTAGAAAATGCTTTTTTTTCATGTTTTCTGTGACCAAAAAAGATGAGTCAGTGCTTCACTGCACATGTTTCCTGATTCTCTCATTATTTTAAATTTCACAAGGAAGACAGCCGACGGCCGACATGAAGAAACTTGAAAATGAGTCTGCAGTCTGAACAATAAATCTCCACATGGTGGCAGAGACAGTTAATTTATGATTCACAGAGTAAATACTGTCACATGTAGCGCTTTCACACATTCAGAAATACATTCACACACTTTCACACATTCAGAAATATCTCCAGAAAACCTGCAATGTTCTGTATACAGTCTGGATAATAATATTAATATAATAATAATAATAATACATTTGTGTATTATTGACTCAATTTATACATTTAGCAGGAAATATTACAGAAAATATCCTGCAACTGTGTGAGCGATACATCATAAAAGACTTTTCATTCATTATAAAAGGAACATCTTTTTCAGTGTCTTGTTGAATTGATATTCACTCGTTTGTTTGTCTTCTACATCATTCATTCCTCTGACCTCTAATGTGCTTCATGTTTTGAGAATCATCCTCTTAAAATAAACATCTACGACCTTTCACATCAATGATCGGTTCATTCATGAGAATCCATTGAACAAGTCTTATAGCATAAGCGTTTAGTATGAGCAGTTTAATTCTCAGGCTGAGCTATTAGTGCTGCACAGTACCGACATTTTGTGCACTTTTTCTGTCCTTTTTATTCAAAACAGTTGGGTACTAGAATTGTTACGACATTGGGTCTTTTTGTAGGTCAAATGCAGCTCCGGTGTGAAAAAACTATTATCTGTATTCTCCACTGGGTGGCAGTTTGAGCAAGTTAGTCAAGTGAGACAATGGTAAAGTAGACGTGCGCCAGACATTCATTTAGGTTCACAGCGTCTCTCCATGATGTACAAAAAATGACAGTTTAGCATATGATCTAGCTAGGAACATGATGTGCTGCTAAATTATGTTATGATCAATGGTGACATTAACATCTGCCGGATTTAAGCAGTGGTGTGTAACACAGTCACTCCTGTGACTAGCCATTTTGGCGGGTTGGATTGTATGTATTTTTTTAATCGTAGTCTTCTCAAAAGGCATCTGCAGACCTTCCAACACTCCAGATTTAAGTGGGAGTCACCCAATTATCTCCCTTCTCCTCTATTAAGTCTCCCTCTGGCTGACTTTACCACTCACTACACACTCCACAACAGTAGGACAAGAGGAGAGTATTCAGATCCTGGCATTAAAAAAACAAGTCAGTATCTTTGTTGGTTCCAAAACATTAGTGAGGTTAAAAAGTTAAACCCTGAAGTAACATGAAGAATTACGACTTTTTCACTGTACGTTTCTTCATATGATCGTCGGCACTAATAAAATGATAACTGTCCCGTTAAGTGATCACAAAGAATACTTTCATGCGATCTGTTCTGACAGACAGCTGCAGAGAGACGATGAGCAGATCATGACAGGTCGCTAAACAGTGCAGACACTACTGATTCAATTGTATCTGAACATTTGTGTGATTGTAGAAAACCCTTTTGTAAAAGGTAGGCGATTAAAGGTACGGTAACATAAATGCAAGTAACTTTTCTCCAATTCTCACCATTTCATTTTTTATCATAGCTGGTGTGCATCAAATGTGCAATGAGCAAAAACATGTTGGCTATTTGAATGTTATTAAAAGGCCCACAGTGCATGAAATAGCATCAAAATAGAGTTTGATTCCTCACAAATGTCTCCCCAAAATAGCACCTCCATGTTCTTCACTTTCTACATTGTAAGCTAGATTTATATTGAAATATCAGATCAACCCATGTGGTCTGTGCTGGATCACTATGTGCTTAAATGGTATGCACTTAATGAATCATTCTTTGTTTTTCAGAAAAACTGTTATGACAACAAATATTTACTTATGTGACGAACACTTAAACTATATATATACACCATTTAGATGTGACAGCAGTGCATAATGGAGAGAGAGAGAGAGAGAGAGAGAGAGAGAGAGCAGTTTTAGATATATATAGAGAAACATGAATACAGACAGAGGAAGTTAATAGAAGATAGAAGATGAACAGTGCAGTGCTGCATTACTGTACATGAACTATCTGAATATATAGATTGTGTGTGAGTAATACTACAAATGAATAATACAAAAATATTAAAGGTCGAGATTTGGGTGTGTACAGGGGTCATTTACATTTTAAAGGGTTATAAATGTAGCTCGAGTAACTTTTATGATGCCATAGTCAACTTCAATCGTATAAAACCTAATTTCCTATCAACAGAATTGTGACTGGCGAAAATGCTGAGTGGCTATTAACTTTGGAAAACCATTAGCCATAGTAGCTGGTTAGCATAACAGTTAATATCTAGCCCTGTATGTAGCGTTATCAGTAGCGTGTCAGTACCCCCACCCTAAATTGTAAATAGCATGACAAGCATATTAGGACGTGGTGATTCCAAAACTTCAAATGTAGAAAGCTACAGTTTTATGGGGTGTAATGTGTGTTTTTTATAGCCCTGTTTTTCAGTCACCACGATGCGGGCAGAACTGCTGTGATGTAATAATACCGTCTACTCCAGATTAGTCTATATTGTCAGACTGAACACGCCAACACTCCCAAAGAACTCTAAATTAAACGTAACAGTGCCCATAGAGAAAATAATGATCCTGGATAAATACATATCAATGAGATTGGGTTGCTACAGCAACATTGCAGTGGAAAAAGACTCTTTATACATTTATGAAAACTAGTCTATTCATAGACTAATACATGGGTTGTGTAGGGCAGGTCTATAATATATTATGTATTAAATGTTATCAAATGTTCATAATTATATGAATATATCTTATTATTGACCCCATTTAATGTAATCACAGATTAGAATCTGTCCTGATATATATGAAACCAAATTTCAAAATGGGTGGGAAAAAACACAGAACACAGAGGTTAAATTTTGGTTTAAAGATTCAAACATTAGACTCCTTTTCAACAAGGAATACATCTCAGAGCTCCCCAAAACATGTGTGTGAAGTTTCTTGCTAAAAATCTACTCTGATCCTGTATTTTATCATGCCTATAAACCCCTCTATTTCAGCCCTGCTCACAACAGGCTGTTTCTGTGTGTGTACCTTTAAATGCAAGTGAGCTGCGTCTGACCACGCCCCCTTTCTGGAAAGGGATGTGGCTTTGGCTTTTTTTTCTCTATGCCCTGTTGTTTACAGTGAGAAGACAGACTCAGAGGGCAGAACAAACACCTAGCTGTGGGAGTGTCAACCACCTGGGGGAGGGGTCATTGCCCTTGGTGATGTCACAAAGGGAAAATCTCCAAACAGCCTGTTTGAACACACATTTTCTGAAAAGTGGAGCAGGCGAAAGACGGAGAGGATGGACTTTTCTCATATTTAGGGGGACTGTAGACATGCTAGGGACACATATTAGTGTTAGAAAAATATGGCAAAGTGTATTTTGCATAATATGTGACCTTTAAGTCTTATGACAAAGGGTAACATGAAAACGTCCCTGTAACCATGGTTACTCACTCTCACCTACCTGTGCACAAGGTGCCAGATGAAGGGAGGGGAAGAGACAGAGAAAGAGAGACAGAGATAGAGATGGAGACAGACAAATAGACAAACCAAGAGAAAGAAGTTCACAGTGGAGCGAGGAGTGTTTATATCACAGAGCAGCTCTGAGAGGAATTTCAAACCCAGAGGGCCTCTCGCTCTGCTCTGAGCTCTCTCTCTCTCTCTTAGAGTCATCACGAGACAAACCTCTGATTCTGAGAGGACACACATGAAAGAAATGTAAATGTTTTAACCTTTACAACCATTAAACAACATCTACAACGAAGAAACTAATGTCCAACACCACGCTGAAGCCTCACTGAGAAAAAGACTGAAAGTAAATGAGTAGTGAAAAAGTATTCTGTTGATTTTAAATAAAATCTGTAAACAACTAACTGAGCATCATCCTGATCCAGATCTAAACACAGACTGCTCGATCATAAAGCAGGACTCGATGTTAATAACGTTTCTGTTCTAAATTAACTGATTTTTTTATTTATTCTATTTTAGTAGGCTAGCTTATCACTGGTGCTAACCAGGGCAAAGTCAACATAGAAACACACGAAGATTTAACTTTTTAAAAAATGTATAAAAGTGTTCCTTCTTCTCTCTTTGTGTATTTTTGAAGGAAAAAAATGTAATGGCTCTTTGTTTTTTAGAGACTACTTTCTATTTGGCCTGACAGTTGTAGGACTATCCATTCCCCCATTAACCATGCCGCCCATCCCTTTTGGGGTCATGAGGGTTTGGAGCCAATCCCAGCAGTCATTGGGGCGAGAGGCCGGCCAATACCTGAATAGCACCAGTCAATCACAGGGCTGACACAAAGACACAGACACACTCAAATACACATCTACAGGCAATTAAGATTAACCAATCAACCTAATAACCTGCATGTCTATGGACCCAGAGGGAACCCACACGTGCAATCAGTCTACAAACCGGTCATACATGTTTTGTTTCTATTGAAACCTATAAATACAATGTGCAATATCCACACTGCTTAACTCATTGTATTAGTAACTGTAAATATTGTTTCATGTCTTCTCACTGTCACTGCACTTGTATATAGCATATTATTCCAGTCCTACCTGGTACTTATTGCTTATTTTATTATCTGTATTTTATTTTTACATTCTTAAATTATTTCTATACTTCCTACTTGTATTGTGTCTTAGAGCAATGGCAACAACCGAATTTCCCCCTGGGATTAATAAAGGATTTCTGATTCTGATTCCAAACAGTTAGGGTCCTGTCTCACGGGGATTCAAA